TTCGATAAAGCCCACGTAAATATTTCTTTGCTCGGGAAGTGAGCCGCAGTGCCTCGGCGACAGATGGACGAACACGTAAAATGACTCGGAGGAGGATCGGGAGTGGCGGCTCTGTGTGGTTGTTTGGAGACTCTTTATGAAGCGCTCATGACGAACGCGATGCCTCCAAAAGAAAGAAAGACGAAAAAAAAAAATAAATAAATAAAAAAGAAAAGTGCTCATACGTGGGCGTGTGCATGTAAGGGGGAGTATCATGTGTGAGCCAGCGTGAGTAGCCCTAACAAGCTGTGGAGCATCTGGACATGACTCATTCTCCTAATGAAAACCCTCTATAGTGTGATCACACGCTCTGCACTGCTTTGCTGCGATAGCGAGGCCAAGCAGACGATTTATAAAGACACGGAGGCATCTTCAGTTACAAAAAGGTGGATTTAAGATCTTCCTCTTGAACGCGAGGTCCAGCAGCTCACCTATAGGAACAAATGTTCTCCTACAGATCCATTTCCTGGTGCGTGTTGATTGTAAAACAGTGTCGCAGCAGCCGCAGTAGCAGAAAAGCTGCTTTTTTTTCTTTTCCTTTTTTTTCAGTCCACAGGTAGACTCCAGCATCACTCCTGCCTACACCTGTTGGAGGGACGCAGTCACGATGCCCCCTTGCGGTTTCAACACGAATCGCGTCTCTCGTCCTCAACATCGCTACTGTACTCGTCTGAGAGAAGAACGGGAGGTGGTGTGGAGGGGGTTGAAATGCCAAGCTCACGCCTTTTTTTTCTTTTTTTTTTTCCTTTTTTACTGCAAAATCACAAAATCTAATAAACAGGAGTGCAGCCCCACCTGAAGCTGCCTTCAGCCTGCGACGGCATCTTTAAGGCATCATCCCACGCAATTTCCCTTCCAATGCAGTCACTGCCGCGTATATCAGCCATTATAAGTGGCTGTGTTTTATTATTATTATTAGTTTTATTACTGGATGTAATTGCCTTACTAATATGAAAAATAACTCGCTTCACAGTCAGTTCAAGATAAAAACAGGCAAATTATGCGCTTCTTTCAGCAACAACTGGCGGAGCGACGTATCTGGAAGCTTATAAGAAAACCAAACCTTTTCAATGAGCTATAACGACGAGACGAGGAAAAAGTGGCATTAACTCACCAACTCCGATTTTCTCCTCTTCTGTTGGTATCCACATATTTGATTATTTCCCCTCTGGTAGAGCAAGCCACATTATGTCGTTATCGTGAGATGATGCTGCTGGAGGAGGAGGAGGGTGGTGGGGTGTAGAAAAAAAGCTACAAATGAAATAGACTCGGCTGATCCAGACTACATGTTTCGAGCGGAATATGCGCCGGGGGAAAAGGCTGAAAGGCTCAGTGTCTCTGCTCTATTATGTCCCGGCGTGTGTCTCCAGTCTGATGCAGTCTCCCTGTCCACCTCATGCAACGCGCACAGACACACACAGAGAGACGCGTAGGCACGCACACGCACGTACGCACACGGTGATCGGTTTTCTGTTTGCCTCAAAAAAAAAAAAAAAAAAAAAAAGGTGTTACTGCAGCCGATGTGTTTTAAGGGGTTTCGGCTCTCCTCGCAGCCTCTCCGCGTCGTGTCTCCGCGCTTCCTCCTCGGCTGCTGCTCGTTCCGGGGCTTCCGCGCAGCGACAATTGGCCTAATCGCTCGGTAATCGCAACATATTGGATGTAGCGAAGAGCTGCGGCAGGAAATTACTGAGAAAGCAGCAAAAATACCATAAGCTGCGCCATCTTCATGGTCGTCACATGACTTGTTTTGTCAACACTGATGTGTCAAGCTTTTGCAAATGTATGCGCCTCCTCTTTTCCTCCCTGCGCGCCCCTTCCATCCATCCATCACAAAACCGCTGTTTCTTCTAGCGGGGAGGGATACTGGCTGGCAGTCTGCCTTTTGTGTGACTGCCTGGACTTGTTACTTTGGCAGCTGCTTGGCCATAAAGTAGCTCCCAGTGTTAAACATCAGGCCGGACCACCATGTGGGGAAACACCTCCTGGTTGAGTCATTTCCAAGAAGCAGAGCCACTATATAGCAGCGATGCTTTGTCATAGTGCAGTCATCCCCCCCACCCCACACGGATGGGGTGCAACTCATTTCTAAGGACAAGTTCGGCTTAATGATTTGCGAGGATGAATTTCGCTCGAAACTATTCACATCATTTTCAATTCTCCTTAAGGTGCCACTTACAATAAATAATCCATAGTAGCGATTAGTATTTATTATTAGACTTTTTTTCAATGTGTCAGTTTGTGCAACATGTAAACTCCACTTTTAAAATGTCAGGCTTTGGTGTTGCAAAAAAAAAATACAAAAAAAAAAAAGATTACATCTCATTTAGAACTTTACTGCGACAAAAGGCATGACAAGTCCTTAATTCAACTGGAAAAAAAAGTTTGATCAAAAATGTAATAATGTTGTTGTTTTCATAAATAACAATAATAATAATAATAATAATAATAATAATAATAATAATAATAATAATAATAATAAGAAGAAGAAGAAGAAGAAGAAGAAGAAGAAGAAGAAGAAGAATATTTTTCTGACATTTCTCTTTTCTGTCCTTCCACCAAATTAAGTTTTCAGTAGAGGTTACCCTAGGTCAGACAGTCCACACTGTACAAAGGTATCAGTCAGGAGAAGGACAGACTGACATCATACTATCACGACAAATTAGAACTCAGAGTGCAAACTGGACCTTCTTGTCCAACATCAGTGCCTGATCTCACTGTTGGTGTTCAGGGAAGAAAGAATTAAGAGTAATGGTTAAATCCGCTAAGGATGGACCGATGCCGTTTTAATATTGAGAGTGATGAGAGAGATTGCTGTGAGGGATGGCTTTCAGTTTTCCACAAGTATATGATAAGTGAAAGAAAAATGAAATCAGAATTGAAATTTTTATGACTAAACACGAACACTGAATAAAACTTCCCACCTGGTGAAACATGGTGGTAGTGGTGTCATGCTGAGGGAATCTCTTCAACAAAGACAGGAAAGCTGCTGAATGGAAGTTAAAATAGAAGAAAAGGGGCCATTTTGGAAGAAAACCTGTTACAAGGTTACAAAAGATTTGATATTAGGGCATCTTCCAGAAAACTGAAACTTAAAGAGCTGCAGTGATGCTGTTTAGGAAAAGGACATTTGTTAAAATGGCACATTCAAAGTCAAGACACAAATCCAAATGAGGATCATTAGCAAGACTTGATGTTCTTCATACAGCCCATCCACTCTGGCTGAGCTTGCAAAACTTTACAAAGAAGAATGCATGAAATTTATCCTCTAGCTGTGTCAAGCTGATTTAACATATCTACAAAGATTTCATCTGTTATTTTAGCAAAACATGGCTATGCTAACGACTATGTAATGAGACAGTGTGTATTTACAATGCAGGAATACGCATCTTGGCTAATTTCAGGACAGTTGACAAATGAAGGAACATTTTAGACCTTAATCTCATAAAATAGATTAAGGTTGATAGGTGTCGGGTTTTACTTGATAGGTGTCGGGTTTTACCAGTAAAAAAATTATAAAATAAATAAATAATAATGCAATAGGCCAAAAGTTGGCCCTTTTCCAGAGTGGGGAATTCTCTATAAGTTACATCACTTTGCTCTTCTGATAAAAGTTGTACTGGAACAGTTTGTAATTTGCGTTTTTGTGGGCAGCTCCATGTGATGAGAAGTGCAAACAAAACCTGATTAATCCATGGAGTCGTGACTTGTACACGTTGCAAACCCCTGCATGCTCGTCCTATAGATAAGGCTCAGGGAAAACGGGGGGATCTGGCGAGCGCCGAGTAGTGCAGCGAGTCTGATGCAGTGTGGGAGGGAGGGCAGTATTCAGCTGGGTAATTTCTCCCCATCAGAGAGACGCTGTGACTGACTCCCATCTGTCTATTACTTCAAGTGGAACATTGTGGGCGGTTTTCCCAATCACACACACAAAGCAGGGGGAGAAGGGGGTGTTTCATAAGCTAAATATGCATCCCAGACAATAAGCATTTGTTTAAAATTACATAACAAATTACTAGCTTCCAACATGGGTACAGAGAATGTACTATAGTGAAACTGCTCCGTGCAGATGGCACAAATGTGGCACAAAGAACGTTGATGCATATTTTTACTTGCCATTTCTACATTTAGTCCCTTCTCTGCTCACTGAAAGCACAGTCTGCCAGACAGTTTCAGCAGTCCCAAATCAAGTGGACAGCAAACATGAAAGGCGCCAAAAAGCATGTCTTCCCACCTCACCCATCATCTGTTCCTAACACTTACAATGACGGCATGCAATTCTGTAAATATTGGTGAATATTAAATTGTTGGCAGTTAAGTTTTTTCCTCAATCACAATGTCCTCACATCTTGTGCTAAGTTTAGAATCTTGGTCACTAACATCTGTATCAGGTTTATTGATTAATCTAATCAAAAATTAACTTTTTGGAGCGTTGCCCTAATCCCACTCAGGCCTGATCACTGACAGACAAGTTCAATATAGAAATTACTTCCATAGAACCTGCATAACAAGTATGCAAAAAGATCTCAAAATGCAACAAATCATGTTCTGACCGAAAAAAGGTGCTCATCAGGAAAGGGTTATAAAGCAACTTCTAAGGTTATTTGACAGTAGAGAGTCACAGTGGGAACCGTTACCCAAAATATTAAACAGTGATGAGCCATTCTCGCAGCATAAATGTATTCAGGAGGTTGCTAAAGAGCCCAGACTATCATCAGTTCATCATGTGGACTTTGATACGTAGCAGGACAATACACAGCACCGAGTTCTTCCCTGAATGGCTAAAACTAGGTTTTGAGTCATGTTATGTATCTAAACATATCTAAACTCAGTTTCTTAAACTCTGACACGTCTTCTTCTAAAGCCCAAATTTGGTTGCGCTAACATTAAAACTCCTTGTTCATTAAAACTGCTGCAAGCTTAGACTATAAAGACAAGTTGAAACATACCAGATAAGTCATGGGTACACAAAAGAGAAAATTCCGCAGCTTTATTTGTAGTAAAAATACTTTAGATACATACAATCTGTACAGGAAATTTCAAGAACCTCAAAAAGTATCCTAATGGAAAATAAAATTCAAAACCAAACTAAAAGCAAAAGCATGAGGAAAATATGACGAATGCACAAAAAGTGTGCCAGACTTTTTTTTATACATACAGAATAACAGATTTTCTTTTACTGTAAAAAAAAAAGAAAAAAAAAAAGAAAAAGCAACATTCATGCCTTTTGTTTTTACTAAATTGTGTGGCAGATGTATTATTTTAAATGCTCCAGAAAATTAGGAGAACCATTTAAATTTAGAACAGTCTTTTAATAAAATCAGTCACTGTGCTAAATACTGTTTGGAAACACAAACAAAAAAAAAAGAATATAAAAACTGTTTGAGTGAAAAATGCTTTTACTACAGTGTTCACACCATCAAGAGTTCATGTGATATGGCACTGCTGTGTGTGGCATGGTACAGATTTGCAGAAAATAAAAGCTGCAGGCAGGATTCCTGAAGGTTTGAGGAAACGTCAGGATTCTTAGGTGATTAGTTAGCTTCAGTCTTCAGAGTCCTAGTCTTGTGGATTTCAACCTCTTTCAACTATAAACTCTTACCTGTGGCCAAATAGATGTTTACAAAGTGTTGAAGTTCATATGAAATCAAAAGGCCATAAATGTGAGAGCTTATGTTTTCTTTCACCACATCCTCACCTGGATCTCCTCGCTCACCCTGCAGCTCAAGTTTTTTTTTTTTTTCCCTATATAAAGTTATATCATTTACAAGCATTGCTATTCTTCCAAACTCTCACTGTGTTCGGTACAGTTTTAAGCTGGCAGTGCTCCAAGTAGATTACCCGCTGGTTTTCTCTTTTTGGGACTGATCCGCTGCAGATCAAACGTCTGTGAGGAAGAAATCGTGACATCTCCTCTGGATCTCTGCTCTTAAGATGCTGATGGCCCACATCCTCACTCGTTCAGGGATAAGATGATGTCATCTTCAAGGTCAGAGTTGTCCGAGCTGTCTGTTTGTTTGATAGACAAACACAGATTCAGAAATTGGGAATAGAGAAGATTTTCTGCTGAGTAGGTTAGTGGGCGAGGGCAGAAAGTGTCAAAACGGCAAAAACACGGCAGTTTATCGAAATGGCGTTTTCGTTTTTGTTTCCTTCCGCAGATTTTGCTTTCCTTTGTTGAGTTTTGGAATAGATTCTTACTAAAACAGGAGTCTTCAGAGAGGAATGAAACAATGAGCACTTCAGTTTTCCTCAATTACAGCCTTGTATACATTATTATAAACTAGCCAAAAAAGCCTGTTGAAGTTATATAGTAAGGTGATTTTAATATTTCTGCAACTATGTTACCTTAAAAAGAGTCCTCTGAGATGAAAATGTAGCGATGTGGGACCATGGATCCTAAAGTAAGTAGCTAATATATGTAATTCTCCAAAAATCAAGCTTTTTTCCTCATTAACATAAAATACATGGGGGAAATCCCCCATGCTTATTAATGCTTCTTTCTTGTTGAAGCGTTTGCTGCATATGTTGGTTGTAATAGATCTTAATAGTGAAGGTTTACAAACTAAGGCTAATTTCTCCAGCAAAATTGGTATTATTTTCCTACTTCTTGTAAAAACATCGTTTACAGAGAGCCCTGGAGAACCAGAGAGAAGGCTTTTCCTGAAAACGCCAAAATTAATCCAAATTAACTGTCAACTATTACAGCAGCAGCACAGGGATTATAAAGCAGTTGCTACTCTTTCAGATTAAGGGAAGAGTAACAGAGTTCAGCATTTCTGGATAGTTTTGCTCCCTCAAGATCCAAATCCTATTTATACGTAAAAAAAATTAAAAAGGGGATGTTTTCTATGAGACGGACAATTATTCAACATCTCATAGACACAGAAACCAAAACTGAAATAATAAAATAAAAATGAAACATTAAAGAAATATACCAACTCAAGGCCGTTGGGAAGAGAAATGTTTTTAAAAGAGACTACAAATAGCAAGAGAAGCTGCCTGTCTAATATTCTACAACAAAAGAAAAATAGACTTTCAGTATCTATGGATCGACACTTCAAATCAAAATAAAAAATTAGAACCACAGATTAGAAACAGTTAACTTTAAAGGTGGCTTACCATTGTCACCGTCTAGATCAACATCATTATCAGAGTCATCATCATCATCATCGTTGTCGTCATCATCGTCGTCATCCCCGTCTTCATCGTCGTCATCTCCACCATCACCGTCATCTTCGAGAAGACGCGCAACCTCTTCATCTGAAGGAGAAAACTCATCGTTCCCATCGTCGTCATCTTCGTCTTCACCTCCGTTATCGTTCTCCAGCTCGGCAATGAGAGGATCCGTGTCGACGTCGTCATCAGAGTCGTCGTCATCGTCGTCATCTTCCTCCTGATCATCATCCTCCTGAAAACACAGAGAAACAAAAGGTCATTTTTCCAGTGCATGAAGAAGTAGAATGGGTGCTGCCTCAAGATCGCAACATAGTTAGAACCTGATCTTCCTCGTCCTCCTCCTCTTCCTCTGCAAGTCGCTGCCGCCCCACTTCGTAAAGTCGGCACACAGTGTCGGTGTTCACAGAGTCTTGGTTCTGTTGGACACAAAGAAAATGTTTATTTAAATGGCAATTTCTTGAGCTGTTTTATGAATAAAGTATTAGTCATCAATTATTTACCTCAATCACAGCGAGGTAGCAGTCTTTTGTATCTGTGCAAAGGTCAAATATATTCTTCTTGACATCAATTGTGGCTGAAAAAGAAAAAGAGCTTGTAAATCTCCACCAATGTTACAAGAGGGACAAATTATAAACATTGTACTGCAGTGTTTGAAATAAAACCAACAAGTTTCACCAGGAAAACTGCTTGATCATTAAAGATAAAAACAATCACATTTTTAAAAATTGGGAAAGATCAGAAAATGTTTACAACAAAAAAAAGAGAGGGATCTTACCAATTGGTTTGTAATCTGTGGCATTGAAGGTCCTGAACGATGACCCAAATGGACTTTTCATTTGCATTTCCATCATATCATCTTCATCATCTGCTTGCAACATTGCTACAAACACAAAGAGCCACAGAAAGCGACGGTAAATAAATGAATAGAGAAAGCTGGAGAGCCACATTTCTGGCTTCTGAGTGCCTGAAACGGTCAGGCAGCAGTCAGCTCCATCTCTGCATGCCTGCACCTCTTTTTCAGTGAGGGGCCGCTATCCTGTGAAAATCTCACAAGAGATTCAAATGCGCAAACACACACACCTCCACGAGCTCTGTTCACACCTTTCTACAAATATACAGTCTACATTAGCTTGATAATTACCAGACTTTCAAACAACCTCAACAATTTCACACTTGGACTGAGAGCAGAGTTGTAGACTTCATGTCAAACATGCTTTACCCTCCCTTTTTGATATAATTTATGAATTTACCTCCATAAATGACGGTGCCGCTGTTGTTGAAGACTATCCTGCACTGGTCCAGAGCAGGAACTGTGTGGAGGAGGTGAAAAGTCCGCAGGTCCCACTGAGACATGCGGTTAAGAAACATACCGTTTGTCTTCAACTGTGTCTGCTACAAGTTCAGCTACACTAAACAATGATCACATGCCTCTTTATGTAACCATCTACTGGGAAATAACACCCTCTTAGTGGGATAAATATTTAATGCTAAGCAGTAAAATAAATCCTCATTCATCAACTCATCACTGGAACAGCTTCAGGTTCAATTACCAATGGAATTATTTAATTTTGTCACACCAGTGTCTCTGGTGTAAAGAAGCCAGTTATTGAGAACTGATAATGCTGCAAATCCTGTAATTTTTATGAAAAAAACAAAAGTGTGTAAATATATCTTACTGCAGCAGCATATCGTCACAAGGAAAAAAATTTATGAACCTAACAGGGTGCATTTATTCACTGGGAAATGGTTCATGTCGAAAAGTATATATATTTCATAATTCATGGGTACCAAAAGTTTTGGAACTCAAAATTCAATCTTGCCAAGATAATAGCACTTTCCTCTTTACTGAAATCCACAAATCACCCAGAGCAGAAGACACTCAGCCAAAATGGGAAAAAGAATAAAACCAGATTCATTGTTGTGAGGTTTCTAACCCAGAAAGCCAGGGCGGAAATCTGCATTCATGTCATCATTTCTAATCATCTCCAGAAGGCTTTTTTGACTCAGGTAATTATGTTAAAAACTATAATTACCTTACATGATTATTTTCTCACCAAGTAAACATATTCTAAACGGTGAGTCTCCATGTGAGATTAGGCTTCTGCAATGGAAGCTAAGTTTGTTTAATTTAGGATTTTTCCACAGCTTTTTATTAGTATAGATGTATTTTGCCCACAGCAATATGTTTTAAAGAAGGATCATATAGGCTTAAGGATATGAGAAATCAGCATTTACCATTTGTCTGAAAAGTGCATAAATAATATATATTGGGGGGATTAAATGTGGTTATAAGTTCCACCTCATGCTCGTCATTCAGTGTGTGAAGGATACAATTTCTGTGTTGATGATGACCTCCTGGCCGTTGGGATGAAACACCCCACTGATGTTCATGTTGAACTTGTCAAACTTGTGGATGGCCTGAGCCGTGCGTATGTCCCACAGCACGCCATCGTTCAGGACCAGGTCGTCTGTTGGGTTGAAGGTGGCGCAGTTCCTCTTGTAATTGTTGGCTAGGTCTGGGTTGTTGAGAGTCAGAGTAACCTGACCTGTTTGTATGTCATAAATCTAGGAAATAGGAGTGCTTAAAGTGAAAATTTACGCTTCAACTTTGTAATAAACGTCTTTAATTTAACAGTGTCAATAACAGGCTATATTAATAATATATGAAATATACATACGCGTGCTACATGTTCTTTTGTCCCTATGACACGGTCTTGTGAAAGCTTGCTGAACTCCACATAATGGTCACCCAGGAAGGAATGCCTGGATGCAATGAAAGCAATATTTGAACATTTTATCTGAAACATAAAGAATAAGGCTGGGCACTTAAAAATCATGTAGTGCCATAAAGTCACTGCAGATTCCAAGAAGTGGTTTATCCGAGTTCAACCATTTGAATAAATGAATCCAAGCGAAAGAGTTTCCGGGACTGAAGACGCTAGCTCTCGGGCTGTTAGTGTGCATAATTAAACAACATGTAGTGTGTCTGTTAGCTCCTTTTAACAGAATAAAGCTGCTGTTGTACTGAGTGGAGAGGATCCAAAAATAGAGGAACCAGGATAAAAGAGAGGGAAGTTAACTCTGGTGACTGACATTAATTATATGGTAATGATTTGGGCAATTTTAAACTCCATGAAAGTGCAAGTTCTTTTTCGGGGAGAATATTCAATACACGTTAGCTGGGAAATAGACTTACTTCATAATGAACACAGATTTCATGCCCCACAGTGCAGAAAGAGGGTAACTCCACGAGGCTGAGGTTAAGAGCAGAGAGCCATCCTAAAAAGGAAAAATATGATCAGATTTTACCAATGACTACTTTTATAGAACAAACATGTGCATCTCAATAAATAAGAACATCTTCAAAAATGTTTTTTCCCACTAATTCGATTCGGAAAGGTAAACAATTTCTGAATTCAGTTAAAGTGTTTCATTAACACTTTCAATTAACACCAAAATTTGATGTTTAAAATTAAAACCAAAATTAATTTGGTGTTAATACAAATTAGCACCAAATTAAAATCCTAAATTCAATTTCTTAAAAAAAATATATTATTGTAATTTCCAGACTACAATTCATACTTTTCATAGTTTTCCTAGTTCTACAATTTAGAATCGGGTATGACTTATATGTATTTTTTCTTCTTTGTGAAGTCTTTTTTGACTGATGCATTAAATGTTGATTCACACTGACAGACATGAACCAAGGAGTTACTCGTAGGCTGAAAGCAAGATGACCAGAGCTGGAGGAACAGATCAACAGGTGGGTGGGAGGACTGAACTGTCTGGGCTTATAAGTCTTATCCAATATTCTCCAAATTCTTTCGTATGTAAGCTATAACTACCAAATAAATGCTTCAAATATATCACACTGGATTTTGTCAAACTGATTTACAAACATCAATGCATTTTTCACTTATATTTTTTTTTCTTGTGCTACAGCTGTGTAACATCAGATTTCTCTACAGACCCGTGATGGCTCCAGGTGAGTGATTGCAGAGCTGTGACAGCTGTAGCTTGCTTCCTCCTGGCCTGTAAACACATTGTAGAGCTTGAGCTGGCCTGTACAGGTTCCCAGCATCAGGAACCGCTCACGAGCTGAGAAGGCACAACATGTGAATCCGCTCTCATCCTCATCCGCCTCCCTGAATACGGAGATGGGACGGAACCTGGACAAACACAGAAACGGAGGGTGTCGAAAACGGACATGAAGGAGGGTCAGAGAGGAAAGAGGAATGGCACCAACCTGCTGAATATAAGATGCCTGTCAAAGCATCCTCCATCCACGCCTCCATATTTTGGATATATTACTCTACGAGAATGCCGCGATGTGAAATTGATGGGTGCCTGCCGTCTCTGTTTGGGCTCAGGGCATTGGTGGGGGGTGAAAAGAGAGAAAGGTGGGCAGGTTGCGACAGGGTTTTTACAGCGGGCGTGCTGCTCCCTCAGATACTCTGTGATAATACTGTCCAAGGCAGGAGGAGAAGGTAAGTGTCTGTCAAACTGCTTCTTCATGGCTGGACTCTGGCTGAAGGCCCCATGATCAGACTTCTGTCGAAGCACTCGGTTCTTTTTGCAGTTTATGGCACCGCACGGAGTCTGCCGGTCACGAGAGAAAACGATGCGGCCGATCAGCGGCGAGCCGTTGCTACAATGTGAGGCAGACGTGGACGGTATGATGCTAGAAGGCGGTCCAGCCGACTGTGATGTGGAGGGCCGTGCTTGTGGATGGTTGGATGGCGTGGTGGATGAGTGTGAGGGATGGTTTCCGTGTCGTGACCCCACACCGTTGGCCAGCCGTGGGGTGCGGGGGAGCGTAGTAACGGGGGAGGCAGCAGGGGTGGCAGCAACAGCGGGGAAAGCGGAGGCTGAATGTGAACAGTGAGATGAATGTGAAAGGCATGTCATGGGCAGATCTGCCTCTTTGGTGAGTGTGTTTGCTGTGTCATGTAGGCCTTTAGCCACCAGGTGGTTTCGTATGAGAAGCAGCAGCTCCTTCTCGGGGAAGGTGATCTTGGACTGAGCAACCACGTTGGCCCTCTGCAGCCACGCCAGAGACACGTCCGTACCGATCAACAACGGCTTCCCAGAGATCCTTTCCATCAGCTCTGCTGCAAACTTACAGAACTTGACGTGTTCGCTGCGTTTGTCCTGGAGAACGGGCTCTTTCATGAGCTGCTGGATGTGTCCGCTGCTGAACAAAGGCAGCTTGCTGATGATTTGTCTGACAGAGCTGGAGCGAGACAAACCCACCAGAGCTTTGCAGGCAAGAGCTCGGATCTGATCAGCATCTGTGATGGGCATCTTGACAGTAAGCAGGGACAGGAGCACCTAAAGGACAGATACAAAATGTAAGTGTAAAGAAAAACAGGCTTGCAAAGCCTGAAAGTGCGTTCTAATAAAGATTCTGTTTAAAGGAGTTAGATAGTAGCAGAAATTATAAGATTTATCAACACTTAGAAAGGTGTTTGTTTTTTTGTTAATGAGGCCCATTTGCAGATTTAATTTACTAATTAAGTAACCCTAAAACAACTGATTACACTGGTTTTTCTTTAGGGTGTCAGGGTAAAGGAATACAGAATTCTTTTTTTTTAAGTTATTTTGTAAATACTTTGTAATTTAGAAACATCAAAGATGTGTCCATACTTGTAACAAAGCATTCATTCATAAAAAATGCAACATAGATGTCAGGTGTGCTTTAAGTGTACCTTGATCCCGTTATTGGACTGTACAACATTCCACATCTTGGTGAGCACGCTCTCGTTGGCCTTCGTCTGCTGCGGCAGGCGGCGACGGGGAGTCCCCGCGATAAATTTGCCAATGCTGGACATGCGTTTGTCCGGGGCGCACACACAGTTGATGGCAACCTGGAGAGCCGACTTCTGGATCTCTGCATCGTTCACAAAGACCTCTCCCTCTGCGACAGCCAGGACTATACTCATACCTAAGACAAAATAAAAAATAGAAAAATGTTCCTGCACATTATTACTTTCTTTTATTACTTGCTTAGCAACCAGCAGAGAAAGGAAAACCTAAAAAATAAAAAATAAAACTAAGATTACTGGCAACACAAAAGTAGAACTACCCTTTTTGGCAACAAAGTTACAACTAAGTGGCTGAGATTAAATCATCCTCTCGGAAAACTTACCAACAGTAGAAACAGTGGATCCTCCCTCATCCAGCACTGCAACAGGTTCAGACAACAACACCTGCGTCTTTGGAACGACTGTGAGAATACTCAGGATGTCCAGGGCGTATCGTACCGTATCACTCCTACAAGAGTAGAGAAAAAAACTCACAACCTACTTTCAAATAAGTTTAGCGAATGTTTAACGGGACTTGTCTATACCTGCCGTAGTAGGTCCTCCAGTCACATGCAATAGAAATGAGCTGCAGGAGAAGCTGGACACAAGACAGCTTGTGAAAGACCTCTGCTGGTTCCCAGTATAGTCTGAGTGGACCGTATTCAATCAGAAACTCCATCATTTCCACCACCTGTTCACGGCTGTAGCTGACCGCCTGTAGAGTAAGGCAAGCACACAGAATGCCAAATCAGAAACCATCTTCACAACTAAAGCAAATAAAAGGAGATGCAAAACATTATTTTTATACCGATGCACAAATATGTCCTCTGTTTACCTTATAATATGGTTGTGAGTGAATGGGGGCACCTCCCTCTGTGCGCTGCAGAGACTGCTTCACCTGCTCCACCTTGATTGCCAGATGGGCCTCGAAGTACCTGCGCAGAGCCATGCAGGTGTGCTTGGCTCTCTGCCTGCTGGAGAAAATCTCATCATCACTCAGCAGCGCTCCCTGGTCCTCTGGATTCAGGATCTCCAGTGTGCTGATCTGAAAGCAGTTCATCCATTCCACACATTAAATCTATTAAATTTGACAGTGTATTGGCTGTTTGGACATCAATATCTTTGTCACATGGCACAGATGAGTAGGTTTACACAGTTACAATGGGGACAGAGGAAATTTTTTTTCTTCTAACCAGATTGACGAGGCGTCTAAGTCCATCCTGCTTGTCGAAAAGCTCGAGGACGGCCCGGAACGAAAAGGAGATGGAGAAAAACATGGTTGCGTGGCAGCAGCCTGATGCATGCGAGCACTCCAACAGCCACAGCGTGTAACCAACCACATCTGACAAGACGGAGTGGGGCAACATGCACACCTTGAGTAGAGAGAGCACAGTCCTGAATACAAATAAGGCCAGCAACAAAAAAAATAATACACTGAACTCTGCAATACTGTGCTGTTTGGATCTCGGCAGCATTTGACACGTATGATCGATATAAGAAAACAGTACCACTTCAAAAATAACAATTTTAACAGCAACCGAAATATAACTACTTTGCTTTTGGCTCATATCAGCCACAAGAGTATGGCTGCATAGAAAGAAAACATTACTGAGCTTGTCAAAAGCTACTGACTCGCTCTGCCATTGACAGAGATACTCCAAAATGAAGCTATTTCAATTTGAAACACTTCTGAGTTGTATTGTGTGGTAATCTCCTTCATACCCTTTCCATTGCGTCCTGGTTATAGGCGAGGTAATAGAGGCACAGTGACACTCCTGTTGCAGCCATCGAAGGTCTTGGGATTTCCAGCAATTTCTGAACGCCTCCATGAGCAACAAACTCTGCAGCGAACTTCTTGTGCAATAGCAGAGATGCCAAATACTGCAAGATGGAAAACTGCATGAGCTTAAGGAACATCACGCTGTTTGAGTAACAAAAAGAGTCAAAGAAAGAAAGATTTACTTTCAGAGCCTCAAAGGTCAGCTGGACATCATTGGTCTGTTTTAGATCCATATAGTGCATGAGGAGCTCACGGGCTCCCATCTGCATAAACACTGCCAGAAGCTGTAAACCATAAAGGCATAAACAGCGATAGTTTAACACACTTTAAAAACCTCCAAAAATGGTTTTAAACAACATATAGTAAATTCCTTGAAACTAAACAATTATGTAGTCTAAACAAATTCTTTCATCTGAATTATCAAGATGGAAGGATGACACCTGCTGGTGACTTTGCAGCATGACAGTAGATACATTCTCCCGACTATACAAAATTATTTTTACAAAATCTATATAAAATACATAATTGCGCTCCACCATAAAGAGTACATGTGCTGAAGGTGATTTTGCTTCCATTCATGCATGCAAAATATGACGACCTCACCTTTCAAACACCAACATTTAAGCGTTAAGTGAAGAAGAACATGATCAAAATAGTTTTGAACAAGCTGTAAAGTCCTATGCTCATATTTGAATGAGACCAACCTCCTGATACTCTCCCAGAGGTGTGAGATACTGCAGGATGAGCCTCTGCTCAATCTCTGGAGTCAAAGGGTCCAGATGGTAGTTGTTACCAATAACCCAGGGACTCATCTCTGACCAGCTGCTGTTGGAAAGCTCGCTTAAGTTCCTTTCTGGATCCGGCAGAGAAAAATTCAGCTTCTGTTTTGAGGTTCTGGCATTGTCTCTCTCCATCCTCCTCCGCATGTAGCCGCTGCCATCAGACATGCCTGGGTGTGTCAGTGAACCTGGGGCAGACATGGGCTTCATCATGGTTTTAACAGCTGAGCTGGCACAGCTGCTCGTCCTGTGAGGCGAGCTGAAACGGAACGACAGTTCGTTTTCGGGCTCAGCGCTTGAAAAGGGAACTTCAGCGTCTTCTTGCGGCCCCACTGCTTCCTTTTCGTCTGGATTTTTACATGGCGAGAAGGGCTTGTCTTCAAAGCCTCCATCAACAGCCTCCTCATCTAAAGGCAGCAAAGGCTCGCTGAGAGTCTTCCTGGGGCTGGGTCGTTTGATTTCCCGTTTGTTCTCAGCATCCTTATCCTGAAGCTCACGCAACCTGTGCAGCATCAAAGGCACCTGTAAAAGTAAAGCACAAATAATAAGCAAATGGACCCTTACAAATTGTTACGAGCAAACTGTGGGGCAAAATGTCATTTGTTACTCACTATAAACTTCTGAATTATTCATCAATACAAAGTGACATAAGAGACTGGGGACACCCCCTACTGACCAAAACAGAGTTCTCCTCTCTGTAGTTGGCAGCAATGTCCTGGTTCTCCATGGCGCCCGCCAACAGGCCTGTGGCATAGATTCGTAGAGGCTGTTCAGCCTCCTGAGCCCACTTAAAAAGTCTTTCAACGATGCCCTCCTGAAAAAAAAAGAGGCACGCAAGATGGTGAATAATACATAAACCCACGAAGATCAACAGAATGAATCAGAGAAAAAATACAAAGCAATATATTTGATTGTATTTATGATGTTTGAAGCATTTTTGTGAAATAACTATATGGCAATAGAGGAATATCAGTCCATCCCGACAGAGGATAGTGAACAACCCTCTATATATTCTCTATACAGAATACAGCAATCTTGTAGATGATATGAAGCTCCCCACTACAAAAGCAAGCAGTTTACAAGTCTTCATCAAATTCTTAAACAAAGCTGCTTAAATCAAATACAGCAATAGCTCAAAGCGTTTGTGTAATACTTGTTATGTCTGATTCTCTATGTTTATTGCAGAAAGGGGGATCAGTGTGTTCAACCCCAAAGTGAAAACATGAGGGATGAATGAGTGCACAGCTATGAAGAATGGCAACAAAAAAAAAAGTATAACCAACATGCCATAATGTTCCTAAGTTCCCACGTTAATTCTGGAATTCAACTATTGGAGTATGAATTAAGAATCAAACTGATCTGGAATATGTACTGGAGCTCAGAATGGCCAAGACTAAAAATTATTCATAAAATTGATTGACTTTGATTCCTCTCAACTTCACCATCAAAAGAAAACATTCAAAAACATTCAAAAACTTCATAAAAAAATATTTTTTAATGAAGTTTTACATTCTGTGGATAGACGAAATAATCTAAAACGTGTCAGCAATCATGAACTGATTAGCAATAACAGCTGCCACAGTATTATGTTACTTCCTGTTTCCAACTGTCAGTTTCAGAGAGCAATAACACAATTAAAAAGACTTATTTTTAGTTTCAGAAAACTGAAATGTTTAAAAGTTCAGCAAAATATGAACAAAATACACCACAAACACACATCCACACACATGTACACAGACAGACACAATGAGGGTAGATGTACTTTACCTTTTCTTGAAATACCACAGCTGTCTCCAGCCCAGGCATGATGTTCTGCAGCAGGCGACAAGCTGCAGCATTTAGAGAGAATTCTCTGCTGGTCATCACATAGCTGTTCACCAACTATGAAAGGAAACATTTACTTCATTTTAAATTAACTTCTAACCAATATATTAAATGAAGTTAAATATGGCTCACTAAGGCAACTCAATACTACTGATTAACGCTTACTGTATTCATGAATTCATCATTTTTGAACAAGATCTTCAGAAGGTGCCCTAACATGCCTTCTGGATCAGCTCTCCCTAGTGGCCAAGAGGGGTATGTCAAAAACATGCAGAATATTTAAGATTTGCAATTATGAAATCTGTTTTCCTCTTTTTCATACCAGGATGCCGATCATCAAAAGGGTCAGGGTCTGCTTTGTGGTACTCTTCTGTCTCCTTTTCAACAAGCTCTGAGATTCTAAAAGTCAATAGAAAGACCCTTTAATTCATTCTAACAGTATTACAGCTCATCACATACATCAGACCCAAGCCTACTACTTACTTTGAGAGGATGTTGACCAGCTCCTGTGTGTTGCCTTGCTGCTCCCTCTCCCACTGTTCCAGCAGAGCAGTCAGCTCTGCCTTTGAGTCCACGGAGGCAGACGCTAACGCCATGGTGACGCAACCTGCAAGAATAAAATGTACTCAAGACATGTAAAATACCAGAAATACGTATTTACAGTTCATTGTACATTGCAGGAGAACAGAGAACAGGAAATAACTTTATTCCTGGCCAAGTTATGATCTCAAAACTTGGCCAAGTTTTGAGGTGATACTGAGATTTCAGGGACTGGTGGAAACTTTTTAGAAACAATCTACCCTACTGATTATTCAGTTTATAGTTAAATGTAAATATTGAGCTAATTTGAGGTACAATGAAAATTCCCTCAAAACCAGTTAACTTATAACTCCCACTGTAATGGAAAAATCTCACATGGAAGAAAGAAAGAAAACACATGGGTTAGTTAATGAGTGGCTGAGAGGTTCAAAGATAACCAGCTCAATGATCTGTGCAAATTACAATGAGAAAAGGTAACCCAGTAGAAAATGCTAGACAAGCTTTCTTATGGTTCCTGCACTTTTCATATTTTCAAGAAATATCCTTTCACAGTAGCTCATCTCCCATGCAACTATCCCTTACTTTAATATTCATAAAGCACGGACATGCCCTTTTTCCGCTTGGCAGTTGAGACACTCTCCATTCTTGGCCTCTGCACTTGTATTTTTGCATGTTTTTAAAATCTCCTCTCATTTCCTGTTTTTGACATGCATGGTGTCCCAGACCTGAATATTTCTTATGAGGCATTACTGTTCTGACATAACCTGCTTTAAGTTCCTCTGTTGTTCTCTAACAACGATCTTGGTCTCCACTCAGCGCTACTCAATTTGATGCTGAAAACGTGAAGGTTATATAAACACAACAGAACATGTTGACGGGCTCACAGGAAGTTATGCCAGCTGATGTTTGCAAACCAAAAACAGACGCAGATGATCCGCTCTTCTGCTGCAGGTGCAGCTGTTCTCTTGGGAACACAACCGTCAAATTTAGCCTTTTCTTAAAATATCGATTAAGTAAGAAATATACTATACAATAATTATGAAACAACAGTCCGAACACTTGCCATGTATCCCCGTATATTATTTAATGGGGTTTTGTTTATTCACAACGCTGCAGGCAGCTGGAAACGCCGCTCACTACTGCGATGTTTGCTACTTGGAAAGTGGCTAAACATGAGAGCTAACCTCATTATTGTTATAACCAGACTTTCAAATCACAACTTTATCATTCCGTAACAGCTCTGTGACTCCTCGGACCATACAGCTTATTTCGCGGAATCTAGAGAATATAAGGACCGGTCAAATCTGCCTGCAATGGCACATACACGGCATTACAAGGTTCTAGCAAAAACCTGGCTATTTAGCCAGCATGCTAACTTTACCTCGTTTTTTCTCTCAGTTCTTCCTTGGTTTGCCAAAGTTACACCGAGACTCAAATCCACAGACACAAGCCTCGACTTAATTATTGTTTGCCGAGTCTCAGCGCATCGATAGCCGTCTCCCAGGTACCGCTATATTTATTTTTATGGTAGCTTTGCGTGCACGGTTTGTTAGCATTATAGCGAACACGTTCTTCGCGTCATATCACTGGCGACTGTCCACTTTTAATGACGAGTAGCGATGGGAATTTCGGCTCTTTGCAGAGAGATGGCTGATGTGTCTCGTCTCCCAAAGAAGAGCCGGTTCTTTCGGCTCCCAAATGGCCCTTCATTATCAATTGCAGCCCAATATTTCAGTATAATTTGGGAATTAGAGATGTTTTGCATGACAACTCCTTTTTACATTAAATGAAGCCTTATACTTTCTTAATATTATTTATTCGTTCTGCTTCAAAAAAAAGCACATTACTTCTACACAAACAAATGAACAAAGCATCGCAAACAAATCTACCGAACAGACCCGTAAGAGTAACTTATTTTTTATTCTCTCTCCACTTCTCCTCTGGTGTGCTGCTCGTTGCACTTCCGTGTTTGTAGCCCCGCCCCTTACAATAAATAAAGGCTCTCAGTGAGGAAGCCGAAACGTTCGCGACTGACCCACCACTAATGCCCAGTTCACACTACACGATTGTCGGGCCCGATTTTGCCCTTACGACAATCTTAGAACGTTCTGAGTTCTAAAATTGTCGCTTCCGACAATCATAACCGATCTTCCTGTAGTGTGTGGTGTGTTACGACTGATCGGGTCTAGTCGGTGGAACGTGTTTAATCATCTTGGCTCATTTATCACAATGTCTGTGGCGTTCCCCCGACTTGTTTTGTTTTTTAATGAAAGATAATAGACCTTTTTTACAGGAAGCTGTATCTGATAGGGCTGTGGCACTTCCTGTTTTGGTGACTGTAATTCAAGTCCTCTGAAAAATGGCTCTCCTCCTCCGGTCCTTTTCATCGTCCTTACTTAATTTTCCAGCCCTTTCTTTTGCTGATGCGGAGGAAATCGTAGCGGCTAATTCATCCACCAACAAACGTGTGAAAAGATACAAGTTCTTCCACGAAAAATATATCCACCGCTATCAAGTAAGAAAAGACGTAGCTTAGCGAGCTAACCGCTAGCTACAATATATGAACTACACAAACATCGTAATTAAGCTTGACTTAGTTTGCTAAATTACGTGTAATATTAGAGACAAACATAATTTAAACTTTTCAATTATATTCTGATTCCATTCTGAAATGTATTTGCCAGTACAGTTAGTGAAAAACACAACCGCCCCGGCGCATGCGCACAATAAGTCCGCAAACTAAAGTTACCACTTCAACGTCGTTGTCCATGTTTGTTTGTTTACTCTAAATTCAGGCGTGGCAGCCCAGAATTTTAATTTGAAGGGATTTTGTATCTGGAATTAGAATGTCTTCGAGTGAAACCTCACACTCTACGGTCGAACCCGTTACACCTACGATTTTAAATCGGCTAGTGTGTGGTCTCTCTCACGTTTTCAGAATCAGCCGACTTTTCTGAAATCGTGTAGTGTGAACTGGGCTTAATGACGACACAATTTTGTAAAAATAGCCTATATTTTAATGCAAAAAATTTCATAGAAGCGTCATAACACGAAATACATTGTTGTAAAATATTTGCATAATGTTAAAATGAAATGCCTTCAGAATACATGTGCCAGTGATTGTTAAGAGTACATTTATGAATATTAAATATTAAATGTGAAGTATTTCATAAAGCTCCATAAACTTTCATAAATGCAAAATTCCGTACACAAAGTAAACATATGTTTTTGCAATTAAATCTTATCCCAAATAAAGTTTTTTTTTTTTTTTTACAACCAAGTCCACCACAATCAAAAGTAGAAGAAAATCTGTTAAATCACAGACAACATAAATGTCATCATGGAACATCCCCATGAATTTGTACAAATTCAGGAAATAAATTTGTACTCCTGTGGAAAAAAATACAAAATGGATGCTTTCCCAGTTTTTTGGTTTTTAAATTGTGTCAATGCACTTCATAGTGCTCTATTTCTTAAATTGCCTTACTTTGAAATGTCAGCACAGGTGGTTTCAAAACCTTTAAATTAGTAGATATTCTTAAACGAAATAGTGTCGTCACACATTTGTATCAACTTAGCCTGAAATCAACATTAATACTGTCTTCTACATGGTGTGCAGATAAGAAAATGGTCCCTTTAAAGCTGGAAGAAAATATATTTAGTCAATTTCTGAGAAAGACACACAATTATGGACTTGTTAAATGACCAGTCAGTTTTCCAGATTGCCTAATTTCAACTTTGACAACAGTAATTTAATTCCCCGTTCAAAAATGTCTCTTCTTTGTTGTAAAAAGTTTTGTAAATAGTTGATTTCTGACATTTATTTGTATAATCAGAATGTTACATTCATCTCAGTTACATTACAGAGCAGCAGCAGGTAGCAGGATAGTCATCCGTATGAACTTTGAACTCCTTTCCGTACACAAAGTAAACATATGTTTTTCCTTTCCATGTGTAGGTGACCTTTGTGACGGGAATCAATTCAATGGTTTGACGCTGCAGACAAAAAAAAAACAAAAAAACAATTGTGAACATTTTGCATGGTAACAAAAGCTTCATTATGTGATGACATCTTTAAATACCTGTTGTAGAATACGTGATGTCTGTGAGAACTTGCACTGATGATCCCCAACAAGTCGCTGTGCAGCCTGCACCACCGTAGGGTCTGGGAAGCCCATGACTGGATACACCTGTAGAGGGTATTAAATAAATATTGTTGAAGTTGTGTCTCTGTTTAAGGGGCATTACAAAGACATTTGTCAATGTAAGTGAAGGAAATGCATTCAGTTTTGGTGCTTTGAGAGCACCAAGTGGTTTCCAACACAGTCGCACAGGATGCACTCAATCTCGATGCGAGAAACAGTTTGACAACTTGTTTTTCACAGTTTTGGGTCAAGTTGCTGCATGGAAAAGATACATGACTTACATGGCCTTAGCTCTAAAAGAGTATGTGTCTACTATTTAAAATTTTGTTGACTTGCCCTATGGACATAGGGTTACGATAAAAATAAATAGTGCACTGTGGTGTCTATAGTGAAAACATTTTTGCTCTGTTTTTTCTGCTTTTGCCTGTTGACAGACTTCCATGTTTCAGAGCAAACTAAATGTTAGCAGTCAAAAAAAATGCAAAATGCACAACTGCTGCAAAGAATTTGTGTTTATTTTGCATTGCTGTGAAGGCATTTTGAGACACCAATTAAAGCAGGATAATTTTAATTTAGCCAGTTTGTAGGGTTTTGGAGTGTATAGGGTTTTACAGTCTGTGTAAGGTCATGTCACAGAAACACAATTGGAAATAAGTCTGGGACTTTGACTAGGCCACTTTAAACATAACTTTTCTTTTAGCTGTTCATAGGTGAACTGGCCAGCATGCTTTAGGTCACTTTTATAACTTATGACCTGATAGTAAAACATTCTACTTCAGGATTTTTTGCTAGAGACCAGCAAGTCGTCCAGGTCCTGAAGAAGAAGCCAAGTAACCCCCAAGTATTATGTCTGAACATAATACAACCTGTGTTGTAATTTCACATAGAGTCAGGTAGGTTTTGGCTGATTTTTTTTTCCATCAATGAAATGGATAATAATTTAAAAGCAATTATTTTATAATTCGTCAGTTAATATTTTTTCAAAATAATATTAACTAACTACTACATGCTTTTCAACTTAACCATGTCAATATTGCCATTTCAATCGAGTTAGTTATGTACATATGCATGTACTGAGGAAAGAGAAATAAAAAACCTCCAGGAATAAATATATATAGTAATAAAAGATAAAAGAAATAATGATAAACAAATGCTAATGATGGTAGCTAATCTAGTATAGAGGGAAAGTTAGTTTATCTTGAAAGCACTAACTATTAATACATTTTAATAGCACTATAACAACATCCATCAAAGAAAAGATTAACTTATATGACAACCATGCAACAATTTCACCTCTTTCTAAGACCTAAATAAATAATTTAGCCATATTTTTTACAAAAACAAAAGAAAAAGAAAAATTTACCAAGTACTGAGAGTCCCTGAAGAGCTCCTTGCCTGACACTTGACTGAGGTTCGATACCTGAAGACCGCTCGATTGTTCAACAACATAATTGTCAGAGTTGTTTGTCCTGCAAGCACAAACACAACTGATAATTTTACAGCATCTTCAGACACCGGAACCACCGCAGAAAACTCCTTTTAATATGTGGGAGCCTTCTGTCGGTCCCCATCACAAAGGCTGAGCTTGGCCACCTTACAAAGCTGCTTCTACATAGAGTCTCATGACTTTGGTTCTGATCCCTGTTCCTTTATTATAGGTGAAGGTTAAAAGAGAAATGGGTCAGGAAATCAAGAGCTTTGGTAGATAAACATGGTTAACAATACTCTACCATTTCACTCTGAGGCTGATGAAGACCAAAAGCTGCTGTTTTCCATTACATGTGGCACATTGCTTTGATCCTTGCCCATGACAGTGTCCACAACTGAAACAAAAGAGAAACTTTCAAAATACAAGAACAGCATTCAGTAGTATTTTTTAACATTTTCGCATTGTCTTACTGTCATTAGGAATAAAATGCATACTTTTCCCTCCCTCTTCCGCTGCAGTGGTGGCAACGATCATCTCCATGACGAAAACCAGATCCATTACACACCCAACACACTTTCTGTTGAAGACAAAGAGGGAAGAATGACACTTGATTTTATCACACTGACAAACTTCCAATATTTCCTAACTGAGTCGAAAATACTTACATTACCAGAGCCTGCACAGTCTTTGCAAGGTTTCCTCCCGCTCCCTAAACAATCATGGCAAGGCTAGAACAGCAGAATAAATTACACACGTATTTGTCATTTAGAAACATACATCAGGTAGAGTACATTCAGAATGACTCTAGGTAGGAAGGAAGGAGAAGAAGAAGTTAAACTTAACACATACAATACTGTTTAATATCTGCTTCAGTCACATACAAAGCACCTCCGATCCAGCTCGCACATCTCAGGGAGTCTTTTTCTCACTCTTCTTACAAAGAAATACCTGTTGCCCTGAGCCAAAACCCAGTTCAAAAAAGTTTTGCTACAGAAGAAAAAAACCTCCCTGAAGTCTTTGTTACCATAAGACTAAAAAAAGAATCCAAACTTAAAGAAATGTATAAAAATACATGTGAAATGTTTTTACAGAGAAAACAAAACTCACAAGAGCTAATTATTTTTCCCATCATGCATAATTTGTATAGCTTACCTTCATAGATGAGGTGTAGGGAACCTTCATTTTCTGTTCGCCGTCCACAAAAAAAGTGGGTGCTTTGGCAGGAATGTCCCACGGTCCTGGAGGGTGCTGAGCATAGGCATCCACTGGCTGGCCTGATCAATATTAACCAATGTAAACTGTCATATGGGTCAAAATATTATGAAATAACAAAATACAGCACTAAGTACATAATAATATGTTGACTTGCACTTTTTAAATTTACATGACAGAATGTCATATTGTGACCTGGAAGAACCCACAGCAGTAATATGTCATGCTATGAAGACCAGTTTTTATGGTTGCTTATTTTTTAACGTTTGAAGATAACTTCACACGCAATCTTTCAATTCCATGAATAAAAAAGCATATTACACTTAATGTTTTCCATATTTTTTACACGTTCAGTCCAAACAGCCAAATGACTACCTAAAAATCTAAAAAGTCACTGAGAGAGACTTCTATTTAACTACAAGTGGAAGAACATTTTATGTCAAAAAAATAAAAAATGTAGAAATAGGTTGTTGGTCATGTTGGACATGAAAAAGGTGCAATTCATTTAACATGTCAGTTTTTTTTCTATGACTACTTAACTGAAACTAACACTTTTAAATTCTAGATCTAGTTTTTATTGCATGTCATTATGCCGTGATAATCTCTCACTGCGGCGTGACAAGCATCTACACTCTGCATTTACCACAGCTCTGATGGAAACTTGTGGTTGACCAAGTGTGGTTGGGCAAAAAGGCTTCTTCCACGTTTACTCCGTACATGAACCACTTTTGTGTTGTGTTTGTGTGGTGTCGGTGTACGCCGTTGGTCCAACCGTCACAGTCACCCTATTAACTTTTTCGAAGGCATTAGCAGCAGAAACACACCGTTGTATGGCTCATGGCTCCACTCCGTAGACCTGGACTCAGTAAATGTTTCTAGGCGATACTGCAATAGTAAAAATAAAAAGTAGTTCAAGGAAGGAAAACTCTAATGAGCCATTTCTGTTCACTTTTATTCAGCTCTCACAGCTTTTTCCAAAACATTTCTAAATCACAAACCCTCTTACCCTGTAAGTATTGAATGACTCCATGTTGATGATGACGCCCTCCTTTGCAGGTGCAGAACTGTAGCAACATTTGCTGGAAACATAGAGGCTAAAGGCGTCCCTGGCAGTCTCTTCAGTTATAGATGGGATACTGCAAGCAAGAAGTCACACATATTGGAATATCTACAAATTAGATATTCTAATTGGATATACAACGGCTTAAGTATCCTAAGCCATTATATTAAAGGAAGGGGCATGGTCATAGCATTACTTCCAGTGTGGTTGTTCAGGTCCAGGTGAAGGCTGGGGGACTGGTTGAGCAGGCATGGGAGGTGGAAGAAATCCACCTGGAACAAAAGTTAAGTCCTTTCAGTGAGGTTTCTTACTTTATTTGGAAAAAGTATATTTGATTTCAAATGTTATTGTCCAAAACCTCTCATAAAGGAACAGTTTTTATCTAGATTCTATTACTGTCTCTAAATCTTCAAAAGTGTTTGTGAATAAGTAGAAATGAATATTGCGAAATAATTGTGAAGCAACTTAGGAACCATTACTCTGGCATTATTTCACTCCAAGTTATATCCAAGACTTTTGTTGATGAATATATTTAATTACCAGTAAATTCAATAATCGGGTCACATTGTAGTTTAATAGTCTGTCTACAGATTGCTTATTTTTTATGAGTCACCACCAAAAAGACAAACAGTAGAAAAAGCAGTAACATATCCTTTTTACATTTTTTGGTTGCAGTTATTAATGTGTGAAATTAGCAAGATAAGCCTCAGTTCCTCCATGGTATTCGTCAAGAAAGTTTTGGACTGCTCCCTCCAGAGTACATACAGCAATATCCCTATGATAGCATTTTTGGCTCAGAGCTTCTTCGTGTCATCACATTTATTTCCTAGACTGAAACTAATTAAAAGAGTAATGGCCTTTTATTTTGAAGGTATCTTTGTTTCAGAACTCCTTTGTGAAAAATTTGGAATTGAAGAAAGGTATTGGTAGATTTGTACCAGATGTAGATGTTCTTATAGTGTAAAGTGCATTGACATTACATTTATTTTTTGACCTGGCACAAATAAATAAAACATAAATCTTAACCATCGGTAATTAGACATATTGTGTTACTATATATCTCTTGTTGTTTTTACTTTGAAACTCTTGTTTATGAATTATGAACAATTTAGTGGGTCGGTATATCTTACTGTACCTCCTCCCGCCATCGTGCCTTCATATCCAGGCATGTTGTCAAACATACCAGCCGGCGGAGCGCTGGGGCCTGCATACTCCGCCACGGGTGGGGCAAACATTGCTAAATCCAAAACAAGAACAACCAGTCCAGTCAGTAACAGATGCAAACTCTGAGATATGATGTATATTGTTGCTATTTTTTAAGTAATTCTTTTTTTTTTATTTTATGCAATACAATTCAACACAACAATACAGCAAAAGGGAAGTCTGCTGGTCATTTAACCCAAGTCAGTAAAAGTCATAGAACTTGAGATTTTCAAATGAACACATATTCCTTCATGTCAAAATCATTAGACGCTGTGATTTACCGTGCCCTTCCGTCATGGTGTTCATTCCTGCAGATTTCCGAAACCCAAAGCCTGATTTACCTGAAGCTTCCAGGTTAACCTTAATCTCTCAGCCTGTAAATATGAGTGAGAATCTGGAAGCTCTGAAATATCAGCAACTCCACAAACATGGATCTGCTGACTCCATATTTCAGTCAAATGTCTGTAACTATGACTGAAAAACTCAAAGCTCTGAGATTTCAGCAACTCCAAAAACAAGTTGCCGCCCATCCGATGTTACGTCACCAGATACGCAGACTTCACTCGTAAAGAAGAAGAAAAAAAAACTTTTAAAACTCGTCTTGTGCTCAGGGTGTAGTTGAAATACGGGTTTGTAGGAGGTCATACCTGCTGGCCCCGCTGCTGCTGGTGTGTAACCTGGGTTGGAAATGCCGTGATTTTGGCTGAAACGCGCGGCAGGAAAAAACGAAAAGTTAAGCAACAGTTTGAACGTTTTGCTCCAAGTCGAAGCCGTGAAGCGAGCCTCACCTCGCCAAACGCTGATAATCCATTTTGCGCGGTGACAACTGGATTTTTGACCGTTATTCTCTCTGGGTTTGTTTTCCTGTTCCACAGAGCTGTCTGTCTGCTTGTTGGTTCCCCTTTAACCGCTGCGGTAGTGACGGGACCTGATGTCCGGATGCTTCGCAGCACAGAGAAAGTTTTGTAAGGAGGGCCTCAGTTCAGGATCCGGAGTTTGTTTTTTTGAGACGAGACGGAGATTTTTGGGTGGGATTTATTATTTTTTTAAGTTATTTTACTAATATATAGCTATTTATATGGCTTTGTTTGTGCTTTGGCAACTAGTTTTTTTTTTTTCTTAAGAGAGACAATTAAAAAAGGAGTTTTATTTCAAAATAAAAGCATCGTGAGATATTATTTGTACGTATTCGCCGATTTGAAAAGATAAAATACAAAATAATAGGCGGAGAAAAAAGTGAAACTGGTCCTTTTACTATTCGGTACATTCTGTGTATAGTGACGAGTAAGTGTACATCTTCCATGTACCCCTTACATCCATGTATTCTGTACAGGGCCACGACCAGCTGGACAATGGACACTGGCCCTTATCTAACTGACCTGATCCAAATGAAGCTTCATGGGTTTATCAAACAGTAGAAGACAAACCCATGAAAGCTGCAAACTAAAATCTTAATGCAACTGTTCATTTATCAGCCAGATTGCTGAGTTCGCAACTACACACTCACCTGGCCACCTAAAATGTGACGTCACCGGAAGCGAAAGTTACGGTGACTTGTTAAGTGAATTAACGAAGACAAAATACGTCGAATGAAGTTGAAATTCAGCTGCGTAGCTCATAACCTACCCGCTGCTCCTGCCGCGGCTGGCATGTAACCGGGATTGGCGATGCCGTAATTCTTGTGCTGCCCACTGAAGTGAGAAAAGCGAAACTAAGATTGAAGCAACAGAGTGCTGTGAAACGATAATAATAAAATGACCAAACCATACTTGCCTCAAGATGGGCTGAGACTCCATCTTTCGGTCCTTCGTCCAGCAGCTGAAACAGAAAAAAAATAAAATGAACCGCGTCCTCACAAGAGCTGTGACCTAAACCCGATGAGGAAATGCCGGACAACTCATCGTCATGTGACAACAAAATGATTTACCTTTAACCACACCACAGGACCTTTTCCCACAGCAACCGTCCTTTAAATCTGACACAGAAAGGGGAACTTTCATTAAGGAAGTGTGTGAAATGAAGAGGTGCATAGAGTTACCAACCTTCTCATCTGATCAGGAAGTGTGCACCAGTACAGTGAACCATAGGTCGAAAGAGGCAGACAGGAAGATACATCCTCAAGAAGTCCTTCTCTCAAAGATGAACAAGCAGTTTGTTCTTGCAGATAAAACATATTGTGCCAAATACATTGTTGCAATTCGACAACAGGACATTTCAGCAGCAGCTAAATTCAGCCTGTGGGACACCACATGGAAATTAAAAGTCATAAAATCAAAATCGCACATCTTCAGACAATGACTGAACCTGGGGCTTCTCAGCTAGAAGATTTCAAACGCAAGCAGAAAGAGCTGGAGCTCACCCACCGATCAGTTTTCAGCTTTAAACTGAAAAGGTGTTAGTTGCAACCAGGGCAAATTTTACATGATCCATTAGACAATTGGAGTGACACTCATTGATTCATTGTGTAATATTGCTGAACTCTAAGGGGCTACTGCCTGCTAATGATGCTGAAGTCGGTATATGACCTGAAATTTAGATTCTGCCTAAATTAAGAGTTTTTGTTTTGTTATTCTTCTGGGAGTTTGGAAAACATTTGACCAGTTGTAGGTCAAAATCTTACATGTTTAGACTGCTCAGACATTCTGAATTGTATACTGAACAGAAATGTAAAAAAAAAATAAAATACACAGCTTGAAAAAATTCTGTTTCATCACTTCCAAAGCTAAAATTTTGTTTGAAAAATTATTTTAAAATGAATGAAACGTCGATTTCACTTGTGCCAAAAAGAGTTTACTGTTCTTCACAGAAAAATACATTACCCATAAGGCATTGCCAGATTTGCGGAAGTCCTTTTCTTTCTTTCCGCCGTCGCCGAAGTCCCTTTTGGATTCAGATCGGCGGGTGAGATGACAGAATCTAACTTAATCCTCATGAAAGTTGCCATCATCTTATTAACTCGATGTTGATAATGTGTTATTGACCTCCATCGTTTACAGGACGTATCATATTAGCAGTAGTATCATCGGTTTTGTGTTGAATTTGCCCATACGGAGTGAAGTGTTGCTGTTGAAGCGGCTGTCCGGCTAGCACCCAGCCGAGGCCAAATTGTAGCATGGTTTATAGACAACATAAAAAAATATCACCACATTTAAACATTGTCGATTAACTATTGCGCTTCTGTTCATCTCATGTATACAGAATTATAAAGAAAAAGCAGTACGGCCTGCTACACAGCAGAGCAGTCCTTCGTAGTAGCTAGCATGCTAACGTAGATCAACACGTTTAATTTGATTCTCACTCCGCTGGAAACGCACAGTTAATGTGATTGTGAACGCGTGTGGGTTCGTAGTTTGAAAGCATTTTGCGTTTATTATAATTTTATCCTTAAAATTATAAGGATAAAATGCAGTTATTCTGCAGTGTGGTGTTAGCACACCGGACAGCTAACGCTAATGGATGATCATAGAAATATAGTCCCAACACCTGTCCTGAGCTGACTTTTTATTCTAACCTTGCTTTGAATTGTTTGTCCACAGTCATCATGGCAGCCCTCAGGCCCCTAACAAAACCCAAGATTGTCAAGAAGAGAACCAAGAAGTTCATTCGCCATCAATCTGATAGATATGTCAAGATTAGGGTAAGTGTGGAAGGCAGGTCTGACACAATTTACAATTGCCTCTCTTACTGAAGGCAAATGAGTGAGATATATTCTTTGATTTCACTTCTGTTAACAGCAAAACTGGCGCAAGCCCAGAGGTATTGACAACAGGGTTCGCAGGAGGTTCAAGGGTCAGATGCTGATGCCCAACATTGGTTATGGTAGCAACAAGAAAACCAAGTACATGCTGCCAACCGGGTTCAAGAAGTTCCTGGTGCACAATGTCAAGGAGCTGGAGGTTTTGATGATGAACAACAAGTAAGTTGATCCAGTTTACAAGCTCAGCTGAGACATGGCAAAGGTAGTGATGGAATTTGTTTCCTAATCTATTAAGATGAACTTAAAGTTTTTACTGTATGCTCAGAAACTTTATTAGGGCCTTTTCTAATCAGAGACAGTGTTCTGAAGAATTTCTCCTAAGTTGTGGCAGTATGAGATGGTTGTGGTGATTTTGGTAGCGGCATATATTTCAGGGAAGGCCCACCATCACAGCAAAACTCAGATTGTCATGTCTGAAATGTAGTTTCTATCATTGCAGTGCTTTTATGATCATTTCTTATGGTCTCAGTTTTTTCTTTCAACATTTTTAAATCAGTTCTGTACTAATAATGTATTTGTGCTGTAATGTTTTTGGAAATGTTTGTCTTAATTGAAACAAGATATTTGTATTTGCAAAAAAAAAAGCAAATCTAGGTTTATTTCAAACATAATCAAAATTAATAGCTTAAGTCTTACTTTTCAAAGTGCCAGTTATCCGTTAGGTTTGTAATGACCACAAACTTTGAACAGTTTCCAGAAGTTTGCTTGAGAAGGTTCATCCAAATGTGAAACTTCCCAATTTAGTTCCCATATTTGCATAGACACTGTTGGATAATATGCATTGCATTCATGTAGCATGGGTTCCTAATCCTATACAAAGACAGTGTTTAATAATTGTTTGTAGTGAAAGCATTGTCCAGCTTAAGATTGAATCCCTAATTTAGTCACTTTGTCTTAAGTAATAAACAATTTGAGAAAATATTACAAATTGGTATTTTTAAAGTCTAGTTTCAAAAACCAAATAGCTGACCTTTCTACTGATGATTGCTGCATCTAGATTTCCAAACTAGTTGAAAGCAAATTATTTAAGAATTGTGCTATAATATGGTAATTTTTCAAATTCTGTTATTATTTCATAATTTATTTATTGTTGTAGTTCCCTAAGCCAGATATTAAAGCATTGATAACCACTGTTTATTTGGAAGTTCTACAAATATCTGATTTGTCTTAATTTATGGCAACTATTATTGTGGAGCAACATCAAAACACAGTGTTGAAATATTGTCCTGATATTAGCCATTTGGTTTTACCCCAGTTTGTTCTTTGCTGAAAGTTTTTCATTAGTATTTCTGCTGTAATTTGTCCTTATCGTGCACTGTAATCCTCAGTGGTGTTTTTTGCTCCTGTAGGACTCACTGTGCTGAGATTGCCCACAACGTCTCTTCCAAGAACAGGAAGGTGATTGTGGAGAGAGCAGCTCAGCTGGCAATCAAGATCACCAACCCCAATGCCAGGCTCAGGAGCGAGGAGAACGAATAAACTGGTTGTTCATAATAAACTCTTTAAAATCAAAACTGGCTTCTGGATCTGTTGCCTCATTTCTTCTACTGTAGGTCTGTTTCGTATGTTTGTAAGGCAAACAAAGTTTTAAACTAATTTGTACACATTCATTTTGAAAAGTTATTTTCTCAACTCAGACTTGCTGAATTCTTGAACATTGGGTGACAAACACAAGCTAGTTCTGTGTGAATGTACAAGCTTAGGTAGGTTTTATTTATTTTTTTAAATAATGGCAAATACCTTCTTACTATTCCTGAAGATGGTAAGAAAGTAGTCTTTTTTATATGCATTTGGCACAAACTTTAAAGTTAAAAATGGCTTGACAATGGGTGAGGGACTTCATGCTTGAGACTTCTAGTTTTCCCAAATTAAAAGTCAATCATTTATGTTCTTCATTGAAAGGCATGGTCACCAAAATTACAAGAAATAAAGACTTGAAATATTTTGATGTTGCCCTTTCTGAAATGTGTGACAAAAATATTTAATATATTTAAAGTAACTTAGTTATTCTTAACTATAATAGTTTTTGTGGATTTCCCTGTAGCGTGTAGTCACGAAGCTGAAGTTTTTACAATTATTGGCCATCATAAATTGGTGCTCTCAAGGCCTTTTAAAATAGGACATTTTTTCTTGTATAAATGTTTTGAACCCAGCAATGTGTGAAATCAGAAATGACACCTGACACAACCTTTAATATCAATCTTTACTTTTTGGGCAACTGTCACAGTGCCAACACAATGCTGTAAGTCAAATAAAACAGAAATAACAGCGACTGAGCTAAACAAGAAGCATTCTGGGAACGGTAATTATAGATGTGAGATGTTCTTATTAAAAAAATCTGGTTTAAAAAAAAAAGTACAATTTGGTTAAGTATTACAATAAAAACTAAGATGTTTTTGCTTTTAAAAGCATCAATGGTCTCAGAAAATATTAGTTTTCAAATCTCAGTGAGACGCTGGTATTTTTAGCTCTTATTTGAGTAATTTATCAGAAGATATGAGGGAATTGGATTGCTTGTGAAATAAAAACATCTGAGAAATTTCTGGGACTGACGCAAGTAATTTCAAAAGCCATTAAAGTAATCTAAAGATTCATTTTCGCAAAGTTGTAGTCAAGACCACCGAACCCAAGACAAGACCAAGACGGAGGGAAGTCGAGACCGAGTCAAGTTCAAGACCATCAGCGCTACATGATACAATAAAATGTGAAATATGATCAAAATTGTTAATCAAATTGGTCTGAAAGATTCACATTCCCATAAAAACAGAGATATTAAATACTTAGAGCTGAAATAAATTTAACCAAATATTAAAAGCTTATCTAAAATACCATATCATTCATGTCAGAAATCACCACTGTCTGTATCATTAAACATAGCAATTGAGCCAATGCCTTGAACGTAAACAAGGCTCAACTATGAACACTAACCTAAGAGCAACAAGCAAGAAGTAACCAAATTAAAGTAAATTGTAAAACAATTCACCATACATGTCTGTTTGCTACTTTGATCTGTTTATTCTTTTGCTCTCATTTGACTTTCGGAAAACGCAATTTTAGACAAATATAACTCAGGTAAATGCAAAAGGTATTTTTCAAATTCCTTTTATTAGGAGAAGCAAAATGTTACCCAAACCAGTCAATACAACCTAAAAACAAAGTGCTATCTCAAACTCCTCATTTGGTGGAGAGAGGGATAAACAGTCTGACTGTTGGAAAGTCCTTTGGTTGAAAAGTTGTTGCCAAATGGCCGCCAAGGTCCACCGAATATCTTTAAGGCTGAGGGTTGTGTGTATCCTTGGATGACATGCGTTGCAGAAATATACCGTCAGATGACATTGTCCTGCATTTGCTCGCTCAGACTGCGCATTGTTTTACAAGGTAGAACACTGAGTCCCTGCAGAGAAGGTTTCCATTGCATTCTGGCAGGCAAGCTGTGCCCCACAGCCGTGAACTCTCTGCCATCTGCTCCTGCAAAGCTGACATTGCCAGACATGTAAAAACACAACATTTATTCCGCCGGTCGGCTTATGCTGCTTAGGTTAGGAAGGAACAGACTCAGAAAGGCTGGGAGGGGGGGAAAAACAGAGCGTTGTCCTGTTTGAGAACCTGCACCTGTTTGTGGAAGACTCACCTGACTAGACTGGATGTTCTCCAGAAAAGGACAGAGGAGCATGTGAGCAGCCGGGCAGGCACAAGCTGCAAACCGAGGAGAAGCACAAAATCCTTTTTTTTGTTGTTGTTGTTGTTTTTGTTTTGATGGGTCAGAAAATGAACATGTCAGCAAGGGCTGTGTTTGGAAAAGGGCACCTCACCCCCAAACAGCTTTTATTCACCTTTCCTCAGGCAGATTCCCTGAGGAAAGGCTGGAGAAGAAGATGACTCAGATGTCGACTCGGCATCATCAGAGGAAGAACCAAAGGTAAAACAGATGGGAACGCTTTACCTGTAGAAAATTGCTGTTAAATCACCACATAGTTTGAACTATATATTGTGTGTATTTTTATAGATATGAAGCAAAAATGGGTGAAATTTCTTTGCATGATTGTAATCTGGAATTTACTACTTTAAATGTTAGAAAGTTGTTTATGAATTTCAGGTAATTTCTTATCCTGCGGCTTCCTGCTGCAGCTGAAGCTAACCACCATAAGATGGCAGTGTGGTTGGTTTAATCAGGAGAAACCAGAGATTGCATCAATCTTAAGTAGAGCATCAATGCAAAGAAAAAATGTTGACTAATTTGGGAAAAACTATGCTACTGTATATTTTCACATTTCTCTCCTACTATAAATTAAGTTTAATCATCTTCTTCTTTGTGAATCATTGCTATTTGCTCCTATTGGATTTTTCTTTTGTTTTGTCCAACACCGTTTCATCTCACATTTCTTATTATCCTGCAGGAAATTAATTAGTTTCGCTCGAAAAGCCTACACTCACACCCACTGTAAATGGGGTATTAAGGACAACAGCCTCTAAGGAAATTGTCTATGCTGATGTGTACTGTGTCCACTGGAACGTATGCGAATTATGCTGCTAGTTATTCGTGATCACTTTCAAAATCTGTTAAAGCAAAAAAAAAAAATGGGGAAAAAAGTGGGAGGATGTATTTCCTCTGCGCACAATCTGAATTTGTTGGTGTTGCTTCTTTTGTTTTCATCTAAAATCTCGGTAAGGACAGCACTTTTTCTGCACTGAACCGAAACAAATGAGGCAGAGGAAGTTCAGAGGGGTCGCCTGTGGGGGTCAGGAAGCGGCAGGCGCCGGGACATGTGTGCATGACAAATGACCCCATCTGTGTTTGGGTTCGGAAGCATCTCTGAGTTAAGACTTACGGAGAGGTCGTCAAAACCTTGTCTCAATGTGGATGCTTTTGATTTTTACAAAGTTGCTTAGGTTCAAATGTTGCATCTCTTCTCTTCTCTTTTAGATATTATTTATTTATTTTCCCATGACTGCCATGTGACTTCATCACCAGTATGGTGGCTGCTCTGTGCTTTAAATCAGTCTCTTCTGCAAGGCATGCAGGCAGCTGTTTGGCATAGGAATTTTGCATATCTGAATTTGTTGGTGTTGCATGTGTGTGAGTGTGTGTATGTGTGTGTGTGTGTGAGAGAGAGAGAGAGAGAGAGACACCAGGACTGTGAAGACACACACTCTATAAAGTGGGTACAGGATCTATGTGAGAAAAACGTGACACGGAATCTGACAGTGAATGTGCAGGTGGTGTTAATTGTGCCGACAGTTCGGTGTCGTGGTGTGTGCGCTGTTGTGTCGTTTCTAATCTCAGCGTGTGAACTGTACATGTGTGAGAGGGTGGGATTCAGTACTTGGTGGGATAAAGTGTGAGTTTGTGCGTGTCTGTGTGCAGAGGAGTAAAGGGGAAGGGGGGAGTGACTATCGTGTGTGGCTGCCTCACTGAGCCCCTCTGGCAGAAAGGAAGAGAGGATGAGCAACCGCTGAGCAAGAGAGAGAGGGAGAGAAGGGTTATGTGTGTGAGCTCATGTGAGTGTGTGAGCAGGGCATGAGAAAATCTCTGCCAAACCCACGAACCATTTGTAAGAATAGCTGGAAAAACGGGGCCACAGCGAGATGCCAAGAATAGGGCAAAATTCATTCCTCTCCCTGCTACGGCTTTTCACAAAGATCTCCGCTGATCTCAGAGGTTCCACTGGTGAGGACTGAAACGGATTCACCCTGCAAGTTCAAGAAGGAGACTTGGAGACTGTTTGGAGGAACAGCATTAACCTATCTTTTAACAAGCAGCATGGTTGAAGAAAATGTTGGAAGTGGAGAAGCAGAGATGTATTCCGTGTCTCATGTGAGCGCCTGAGACCTGGTCTCTCAGGTGAAATCTCAACTCTTTACACACTGAGCTGAAGATCAGCTTCCAGAGGAGCTGCAGCCATGCTGTGTGGTCTGAGGAAGGACACCAAGAACAGCATTGGTAAGAGGACCCCACTTTGATCTTGAAAGTCTGTAGGAGGTCACTGATCTGTGTTTCGTGAATGAGCGATCCTTTGCATCCATCCTCCCAGTGACTTTGATAGACTGGAACAAATTTAGATGTGAGACGACTGGGCCACCAGCTCGGCATAGCATCTTACTATGTGTAATTAGAGCAGACATAGCAACATAAACCAGATATGGGGCTGCCCACTTTTAAAAATAAAGTTTTACATCTGAAAAAAGGATTATGATTTTGGTGTCATTTCTGGCTTCATATTTAATCCTCATTCCTGTGAGCTCCGAGATGGATGTCACGCAGTGCCCTTTCTCAAACGAGAAGTTAATTAGCTCTATTTATTTATAAAGGAGGGATCATGCTTCTGCTCAGCTTCTAATTATATACGCATAACTCGATTCAGCTGCAGACTGGCAGACAGATAGATCAGTGCGTTATGCATTGTTGTTGGGGTTGTGTATGATCGACCCTGGCTGTTGGGGTGAGTGGTGGTTATTTTAAGCTGGAGGAGGATTGCTGGCTGACACCGTGATGGTATAGTAACATTCGGTCACGTGCAACTCCGTCGGCTCAGTGTAACCCAGAGCTAATGCTGCCTTTTGACTGAGAGGACAGCTGCTGGACTGTCAGGGCCCGTGGGAGCCTGCATGGTTTTTCTGCTTTTGCCTTGCCTGAAGTGTTTGGGATGTGTCATTCACTTTGTGCGTGCATGTGTTCAAATCAACTGGACTCACTCTTCGAACAAAGGATGTGGGGAAACAAGTGAAATACCTTCACAGATGTGTGTGTTCTCTACATCACCATGAAATGTGAATGTAGTGGGGATATTTTTGTGGTTGAGGGCTGAGTCACGCAGCTGCTTCAGCGGATATCTTTTTTTTCTTTCACCACTTCTAGTCTCACGCAGCTGCCTGAAGGCTTCAGATCTCTGAAGGTATGATGAAGGATCCATACCTCTCGGCTGTCTGAGGGTTTCAGCTTCAGCTGGACAGGTGTAGGCAGAGATAAAGGAGTGGACCTGATGTCCTCTGGCCTCTCTTTCCTAGGATTCAGGTTTGGCTGATGGACACAGAGAAGGGCTAGAAACACCCATAATTTAGTTGATGTTTACCTTTTTTATCTACCTTTACCTTTTTAAACTGATGAACTCAGATTTAATGTGTTTTCTTTAAATAAAATGAGTCATTTCTGACCTCTTGGTTAGGTGACTGGGCTCCGACCTTCATTGTTACTCATGAAATAGTGCCCTCCAAAGGTATTCACACCCTGGATCACATTACAACTACAACAAAATGTATTTTTTAAACAAAGCAAAACGACTGCTTTGAAGTCAAAGGTAAAGTACAAAAAGTAGGAAATATATAAATCAGAGAGGTTTTAAGTTCAGGTTGAATGGAAAGTATCTGTGACCATCAGATTTCAAATCCTTCCACAGTTTCTTAATTGGACTTTAGTTGGGACTCCAGCACACGGTTTGAGCTAAATCATTCTTTGTATCTATAGCAATGTGTTTAAATTGGTCATTGTCCAGGAAGGTGAACCTTTGTCCTGGTTTCAGTCTGTTGCAGCCAAGCAGGTTTTCTTCTATTTAGCTCAACTCATCTTCACATAAACCCAGAGCATCATTCCTGTCTCATCGGGATTAAACATCCCCACAGGGTGAGACTGCCGCCGTCACTTTTTTAATTATTATTATTTTTTGTTTTGTTTTGGAATTTTTTATTTAGTGGAGATTGTGTGTTGGAGGTTTATATGCACAGTTAGTTTTCTACCACATAAAGTATATTACACATTTGCCAACTGATCAATTTTGGCCTCTTCTGAGAAGAGCAGTGTTTTCCCCCATGCCATCTACATGGTTCAAACTTTAGAAATTACCTTTTAGGATTTTCTTCCCGTCCAGTTATAAGGACCAGATTAGTGGAATGCAAAACTAATAACTATAGTTTCCTGCAGTTTCTCCAAAATTAGTCAGCCTCATAGCTTCTTCTCTAGAGTTACATGCAGTCTGCAATTGTGCCATACTCTTTCTATTTTCAGATGAAGTGTTCAAAGATTGGGTTCTTCTAGTAGAAGCTGACCCCGCGTTAACCTTTTCTACAACTTTATTCCTGTCTTCTATGTTCCTTGGTTTTTCTAGGATAACTTTATTGAATAGCTGTATTTAGATTGAGATTAAATCACACACATGGATTTGCAAATTTGAGGACTTCTGATGTAAGTTGCTTCTCCTTGATTGTCTTCAGTGGTATCAATGGGAATAAGAAACAAATGAACACAAAATTCTTGAATTGAGTGTAAAAATATGTTGAAAGCCATTTTCAACATATTTTCCTTTCATTGAACAATTATGCAGTTTTGTGTCAGTGGATGAAATGTGACAAAATATGGAAAAGGCTTAAAGGGATATTAAGACTTTAGCAAGATACGGTAAGTTCTGATAAAGGTTGTGTTTTAAACCTTTGACAGCATTGTAACTTCATTTGTTCCCTCTTGAAAATAAAAACTTGTCTAGGCTTTTCTTCAGGTGTGCAGAGTGATGTTTAATTCCTATGTTGGACACCTGAAAAGGTCATCCGTAGTGGACAGGATTACAGAAGTACCAAGTCAGTTTCCTCAGCAGCTTGACTGCTAATATGGTTTCATTTTTGAATTCAGACTCAGATGGCTGGAGACTGACTCTGCTAATTTGGGAACCTTGTCACAAGTGGGCCCCAGTACGTATGAGAAGTGAACAAAATTCTATTTCTTTGCTGAACAGATTGAACATTTTTCCTGCTTTCCATAGCAGCTGCTGTAAATGACATGAAAATGATCATTTTCTCCCCATCCAAAATCGGCCCATTAACTGCGTGCTGTTTCCATGCCCAAGTGGTTGCATACTTCAGCTCTTCTGCAAATGTACTCTTGTTTTTGAATGGAGGCCTTTAAAGGCTTGTTTTGTCTGAATCACTGCTGCAGTACTTTAACTCAGGTTAAAGTTCAGAACACTGAGGTGTAGATCAGGAATAGGCAGTCATGCGTATTTGTCTTTCTTCTGCAGTCTTTGCATAACCTCCTACACCTCTGTGCTGTCTCCTCAGATGAAGGACCATACTCCAAAGGGAGCAAAGAGACAACTGACCAATCGCATTCCTCCCGGGGACGAAGCCTTTCAGGTACATTACAGTCAAACCTTACTTTGTTTCATGTGCTGTCTGAGTCACAACCCTCTCGGGTTATCAAAAGGATAACATTGCATTCAGACGTTGTTGAATTTTGAATTATGTGCCTCCAGTGGTTTGCTTTGCCTTCTGATGTCATGAATGCTTAGATAAGTTGAAAAAAAAATGCACTTGTGGCATACCTGTCATGGTCCTAAACTGCTGTTGGCATGCTGGACAAAGCAGAGATTTACCAGCACAGCACAAAGTGGACCTCAAGACAGAATGAGTTCTCTCATGACACATTGAAAACACACATCAATTCCAATTCTATTTCTTTTTCTTTCTGTTTTTCTTATCAATGTAATAATAAAACTGACTTTAAATCATTACTAAAATAGGTCAATCATGTTTACTAAATAAATTATCAGTGTTAATAAATTATCAAGCTCTTGGCAATCTCAAACTCAGTAACCAAAACATAAGCTGAAACTCAGCATGTGGCAATACATCAAAACTAAAGGCAAAATGTTAAAGCAGAATGTTAAATCCTAATAAGCTCAATATTCTACAGCTTTCAGGAAAACATTTTATGCAATGATTTAAAGTATGTCTCTTATTTATGATGTAACATAATGTTCCATAATGGATGATTTGCCTCAATGTGTCTGAATTTTGCACTTTGCAGCACCTTGGATTCTTTCTCTTTAAGAAATTTAGTTCTTTTCCTTGAAAGCTAATCCAAATCCTGATCTTTTCATCACAACCTGATAGTTGGGCTTTTGTTTTTAGCGTAAAGTGACAAAGAGCTTTATGTTCTGGAATATCTGTCTCACTTACAAAAACAACATTGTCAATGAAATCGTCTGGTTTCTTCAAATAGTACTACATATTAAACTGTGCTACATTCTTTTTGGTAAAAAAAGCAAGGGTTTTTGATGCAACTTCTCCAAAAGTTAGTCATACTTGTTCAGTATTCTCAACTCGTATTGACATGAACTTAATATTTAACATATTGTATGTGAAGTTTTACTTGTACAGTGGATTGCAAAAAAAGAAAACAAACAAACAAAAAAACTCATACAGTTTCAAATTTTTACCGTTTTATAACTTTAAATCCATAACTGATGATGTATTTTATTGGGATTTTATTTAATAGAACAAAGCAAAATAAAGCACAGTTGTGAAGTGGAATGAAAATGATACCTGGTTTCAAATATTTTCCACAAAGAAAAAATATGAGAAGTGTGACATGCTTCACACTCTTCTGGAACTGAAATAAGATGGTGATGATGTTTATAACAGAGTCAGGTATTAATAAAAAAAATATATTCAGAACTTTTGGCAACTCACAGAACATAGTGCGACTTCAAACCTCTTGGTGTCCTGTCAGTTTTAGAAGAGCCCCTGTTCAAGTAATGCATTCTAGTAATTTATTTGTTTCTTCAGAACTGTCAATCATAAATTATTGTCATTTAGTCCAGGTGCATCCAAGCAGGCAAACATCTAAAAAAATGCAGGATGTCGACTTTCGAGGACTAGAGTTACCGACCTCAACCTGTGGTTTTATTCCTCATCTGAAAATGATGATGGCAGCATCATGCTATGGGATTACTGTTTTTTTCAGTAGACAAAGAAGTTAATAAAAGTTGATGGGTAGATGGATGGAGAATATGGTATGTATGCATACACTACACTACCACAATAACTTCTGCAAGGTTATTGCTCTTCCCTTCTTGGTGTGGTGTTAAAACTGCTTTAACTCCAAATCAACAAACTATAAAAACCTTTGGCTTTACAGCTTTGCTCACACCCAGTGTGTTAAATCAGTCCAGAGTACTTGGGTAGTAGTACCTTGTTTACTTTATTATTCAAACAAAATCAGCATGACAGTTTAGTTTTACAAATAAGTGTTTTTCTTCACAAAGTATGAAAATACGTCACGTTAGTGTTCACCTACTTTTGTATTTATGTGTCTTTTAAAATTTTCTTAAGCTCCCTACTTTCCTTCAGATTTTCACACAAAGATTCTCTTTGTGATGCAAAGAAACAAAGAGAAGAGAGAGAAGAGAGAGTAGCTGGAAACCGTTTCCTGTGGTTGTATCTTAGAAAACATTTTCCGAAAGATTCAGAAAGAACAAAAGCCGTTCCATGCCTCACAGACAGGGCAGCTCTGTCAAGCAGAGGCTAATTCTTTCTGTGGGTTTGTGCCTGCGTCTCTGTCTGTCAGCAGAGGAGTATCGAGGAGTGACCACGGTGGAGCTGATGAAAAGGGAAGGCAGCAGCCTTGGCCTCACCATCTCCGGAGGCTCTGATAAAGATGGCAAGCCCAGAGTGTCAAACCTTCGGCCAGGTGGGCTGGCTGCCAGGTGAGATCTGTGCTTTGTGATGTGCTCTGAGCCTGGCAACGCCAGCAAACCGGTCAGGCATCCAACTCTGCACACAAATGTTTTAAAGGCTAATAGCCATGTCTAGATTGTTGCTATCCAGAATATTTTATTAGACTCCTTCTTATGTGAGACATTTCTTTACCTAAGGCAAGTACCATGGTGCCATAAGACATTTTGCAATGTGGTATGGTGGTTAAATCAGTAATAAAGTATAGCTAAGTTCTTTCAATGCTAAAACAGCAGGTGTTAGCCAGAGGGAACTTTTTAAATAAAAGTTTCCAAATGTCGTCAAAACCATGAACTGAAGCCTTGTATTTTCACAAATGTTCTTGTTTCACCTAATGCCTGAAATTTATATCGACTACAACAAATCATGTCTAGTCTAGCTCTTCATACAGCATTCTTAATCCCACATGAATCTTTGGAGTCAGACGCATCCAACAATCTTTTCTGTACCTAACCTAACAGAACCTAAACATCGGAGCAAACCTGCACACCTTTCATCATCCAAAAACCTCAAACATGAAAAAGAGGCAGATGTTAATACCAAAAAGCATTTGGTATTAAGAAATAGATTAAATGCCATGCAGAGCACAGTTGTGCTCAGAGACACCTAAACACACATTTTCCATTGATAACATTTAATTTAAAGCAAGTTTAGTTTTACAAATAAGTGTAAAACTAAACTTGTATGTAGGGCAAGAAGGGCAGAAATGAGAAAACTCATTTGGTTATTGTGGCTCATTTAGAACATTTTACTTTGGCTTTCTTTTTTCTTTTTTTTATCTTGCATTTAAGATGTAATTTTTAGCTATACAGAGAAAATTTACTTATTTACTGTTTTCAATTTTACGAAGTCCACAATACCGGTTAAAATCTATATCAGAAATCCTAATCCAAAAATCTTCTAGCCTTCTGTATATACACTTAAGAAGCATGGAAATAATAAATGTTTTATTCAAAGCCTGTTACTTCTACCTTGTTTGTGGGTGGGGTGAGGGATGGTGTGTCATCCTGCATGTCACTGATGTGAGAAAAAAACAAAACACCTTCAGTTCAGCAAGAATGACATAATCCTTTGAAAATGTCCTGGCCAAAATATGTCATTTCTTGTCATGTCTAAGGGACACTATGCTAATTCTGCCAAGCAGCTTGTCTTCACACAGCTGAGTTCATGCCTATGTGAAAGTACACGCTAATTTAAAGGGTGGGGACACGCTGGGTCAGAATGGCTACGTGTGTGACGGGACTGGACCATCGTGACGTTCAGCCCTGCTAAGCTTTGGAGGCTTCTCTGTCTGCTGTCACGACTGATTGACAGGAGCCCAAAGGGTGAGAAGGGCAAGAAGGGCAGGACATCTATTTGATTAATTAGCTCTCCAGTGAGCGATGTGACGTGAGGCACCATATAGTCATCTCTGTCAGTGTCAAAGAGGGAGAGACTGTCAGTCATCTTACTTCCAAATCGGTTTTGCTTTCTACACAGGCGTCCTTCTATGTTTGCCTGCAGAGATGTTAAAAATCACACAACAGAATTCGAGCTATATAGACTCATCACAGGCATGAATAGTATAATCATTTTTAAAGCATCTATTGATTTTTGGCATAATACATGCTAGATTATCACCCATTCTTATAAATGACAGAGTAGATTTAAATTGGCTGGTTCTTCAATCTGGTTGAGATTAGGGCTATTCCAGAAGCTTAATGTTGGTCTAATTTCTCCATTCCAAAACCAATTAAGGTGTTTATTTAGGATCACCATCTTGGTGAAATACCAAAACGTCTCCCAAGTTTTAACCGTACAACCATATAACCTATGGTTATGAGGTGAACCTAAATAATTTGAAGCCAGTGCCCTTCCTTATTCTTACACTTACTTTGCGTGATGCACATGCACAAGATCCAAAGCATGATGCTGCCAGCACCATGCTTAAGATTTGGTGCAATGCCTCATAGCCATGCTGATCTTGCAGCAGAGCCTTCTTTCTTAGTTGGCACCCTCTTATTCCATTCTAGCTTAAATTGACTTCAAGGCTTCAAAGATTTAATTTAATGTGACTGTGACTTTTAGTCAGCTGCTGGCCACTTTGGGATTTTAAAGTGGACGGTTAACCCAAACATATGTTCATAGTAGCTTTGGAGGGTGTACTTTAAGTCCTATATTGTGGAGTAAAAGCTAAGTGTGTCTTGTATTGTGTTTGTGTAAATCTGATGTGCAGCTTTCTGTTTTCACCAGTGAGTAAAGGAAAGCTGGATGGCCTTAATAGTCTGTTGTGGCTCTGAACAGGAGCGACCAGCTGAATGTGGGCGACTACATCAAGTCAGTGAATGGCATCAACTTGTCAAAGCTCCGGCACGATGAAATCATTAGCCTACTGAAGAACATCGGGGAGCGAGTCATCCTGGAAGTGGAGTATGAGCTGCCTGCATATGGTGAGAACAGAATGAATAAATAAATCTAATGGAAAAAGTTTTTCTATGTATATTTTTCAAAAACAAAACTGGTGTATGAATCCCTCTCCCAGGATTTTATGAACATACAAGTAAAACGTGTTGAAATGGAAAGCAGGAGCACAAACAAACTTTAACCTATGTATTGTATTCATTAAACTATGAAGAAATATGACAAGGACCCAAATCCCATCTTTGTTGCTGAGTAAACCAACAGAAAACTGAACAAACTAGGAAACTATACCTTTCTTTTAAAAGAAAAAGATTCATTTCAATGTTTTGAGTCTGCAATAACTTACCAATTCTACAAAAATCCAACTACTTTCCCATGAAAATGCAGGTAAAAAAAATCTAATCATAATTAGCAAATATATTTTTTTGATTTTTTGGAAAACCTAATTTCAACTTGGAATTTTTTGCCAATGTGATAAAAAAAGAAAAAACAAGAAGATCGGAAACTCTCACCAAAAAGTAAATTATTTTTTTCCCGAAGCAATGCCATGTTAATATTACAGTCTTCAAACTAACACGCAGAATAAATTTGACAGCTTTAAAATCCTTCTTCTCAAGTAAAACCTTTAAGAAACCATGAACATTGTACAATTTATCTTTTGCTTTGGCAAAATAACAGATAAATTTGTCACAAACAAAATAAAATGATTTTCTAAGCATAGCAGAATTCACAACTTTTGAACAAGACCCAATCACACCTTTCTGTTTGCAGATGTGGACATTTTCTGCTTCTATGTAATTCTTTCTTGATTTTCTCTTTCACTGTAGTCCAGAGTCCGTCAGGAGTCATAACTAAAACCATAGAGGTGTTTTTACACAAGGAAGGAAACAGTTTTGGCTTTGTCATGAGAGGTAAGCAAGTTGGATGCGGTTGGTTGTTTTTTTTCTCATTTTAGGAACTTTACAATGTCCAACTTATAACTTTTAGACTTATTTTTCTTCCATATTATATCTTCTTGAAATCTGTTTTGAAGGAGGTTTCCATGAAGACTGGCGAAGGTCTCGTCCTTTGGTGGTTACCAGCGTCCGGCCCGGGGGTCCAGCCGACAGGTCAGGAAGTTCTTGATGTACTTTTTTATAAGGGTTGGTTGTGTTTCACCTGGTTTCTGGTGTGTGAGATTATCTTGGAGGTTTACGTGGATGAGTCCATCAAAATGAATGAATCTAAGCAGCCATGTGTACAGAGGCATACAAACTAATGACCATTTGACTAATTTTCTTGTTTTTGTGCATTAAATCAAATGTCACAGTATTCTTCACTTGGAATCTAGCATTCCTTATTAATGCGGCAATGAGTTTAAAAGTCTGCTTTATATTATTTATATTGCAAAAACCCAATTTTTCTTGCTGCACAAAATTGTTGCTGCAACACACGAAGAGCGTCTTTAACATAGAAAGGGCAGCACTCGTCCCGAGGCTAATGCAGCCTTGCACTTTTTTCTATGAAAAACAAAGAGCACCAAAACAGTGGAGCAAACATAATGCTGCATCAAAGCCTTTATGGCCATTTATCTTGTTTATCCTTTGTCCCAACTGGGAGGAGATACTCACTGCTTAATCATTCACTGTGATTGCTGCTTAACCGCTGCTGTGAGGATCACGGCCCGGTTTGGTAGGTTTTATTCTCCTTGTTCATGTTTGAGGGGTTTTATTGCTTTTCTTTCCAGAGAGGGCATGCTAAAGGCCGGAGACCGGATTTTAAGCATAGATGGGATGCCTTTGAACAGAGAGAGGCATGCTGATGCGTTGACTATGCTGATGCAGAGCGGCCAGGAAGCTCTGTTCCTGATCGAGTATGACGTTTCTGTCATGGGTGAGTAATCACACACGCACACACACACACACACACACCCCCACACACACACCCCCCCCCCACACACACATGCTGAGAGCATGTGGAGGCATGGTAGGGCAGCGTTTCTCTGAGGGCATGGGGCTGTTTGGGTGCGTGGATGATTGTTGGTGCTGGGGACGGCACCAGGGGAGCAACATGAACCTGAGTGCACATTGATCATAACGGTACTAATGACACAGTTGGACTTTAGAAATAATCATAAATTCTTGATGATAAATGAATCAAAAGGCAATTTGGGAAACACTGAAAGCAGTGTATAAATCTGTGAATGCAGATGTTGGTACAATTCCAAAAAAAAGCTCACTGAAATGGGAGGGTAAGGACTGTGTCAGTCCTACATACTCCAGAAACATATCATTTTAGCTTTTAATGATTTTCTAAAATGGATTTTAGTCCTAATTGTCTTCTTTATACTGCAGGTTTTATCTGACTATTTTATTTTCTTATCCATCAGAGGAAAATCTTCTGGCTCACAAAATATCAAGAATCTTTGTTTGCAAAAAGATAAAATGTACATGACAACTGGTTATCTTATGCTATTCTATTTCTGTTTCATGTTTCTGGTATATTAAGTTATTAATCTGTCAGAATTTATCTTTTGTTTTGGAAGTGTTTATTATTTTACTTGAATTATTATTTTATTGTTAATTATACTATGGAATTACTTAACTTTTTTATTGATTGAAACCAACAATTTTTGTGCACTGTTGTTTAAAATCAGGAAACATAATTGGTCACATAATATTTTTATTTTATTTTTCTGCATTACTATGAGTCTTGAAAGTTTGGAAATGTATGGAATCTGATTCTGTCAATCAGATAAGAATGATATAAGAATGAAAACATTTATTTCAATAAATATTTTTGAATTCTATTGCCTAAAACATTTTTTTAAAATTGTAACTGGAGTCTGGAAAAGTATTGAGTTTTAAAATAAATAAAGGTAGTTTGTGCTGAGATGTTCTTCCTTTGCAAAGCTTCTGATGATTGGGATTCAGCTTGATATTTTTCATACAGGCATTCACTAGGCTTCCTCTAATCATCATTGTTCCAGCATTTCCTGCTCTTATTTAACCCTTTATCGTTACATTACCTCAGCCATTTTCTTGGAACTCCAAAAATGCTGAACCACATATGAGCTGAACAAATTAAAGTTGTTTTTATTTGACCGAAGCGTAACCTCTGAATAGTCAGAAGACTTTTTTTTTCTTGTCCTCTGTTTCAGTTATTTCCTCATATTTGATGGGTTTTTCTTGGACATGGTCTGCAGAGGTTGATGTTATGTAATGTTTAGTGTCTGATCTGTCATAGAAACTTAGATTTCCTCTGACATGTCCAATGCTGAGTCTGTAGCCCTTTTCTGTCAGGTTTCCACAGCGACTTTATCCGTATAAATACTCAGGCAGCATCCAGGCTCTATTGTTGTTTTAGAAGGTCAGCCCCAGCAGCTCAAATTAGAGCTACCCTAACTTATAGCACACTGCTTTCTATTCTTGCGTTTTTGCCTGATTTAGGCAAAGTGTTACTCCCTTTTTTTTTAACAATTATTTTATTCTGTTTTTTTCACATGGAGAGAAGAATCATTTGTTTTTGATCTTCCAGAGTTGTGTTTTCTCCCATGCTCTCTGCTCTTCAGGTTAACCCACGTTTTTTTTTTTTACAGGATTTAGTTCTGGGGACTGATATTGAGGTGGAGGAAAATTGGCAACGACAACTAATACTTAGTTAAAATACCCCAGGTGGTAATTATTCAATGCATTTGGAAAGGAACCAGGCCCACAGAAATACAGATCCACCACCCTACTTAATATGGGATAATTATATGGTTTTTCACATAATTGTCCTTTATTTTATAATTTATTTAATAATTGACCCATCTGGACTGTTTGTTCCCAAACAGGTAAATTCATCTGTCTAAATCACATGGTTCCAGTTAAAGCCTCAAGTGTGTTTAACAAACTCCTGATGTTTACTTTTCTGATGATAGGACATCACAAATGTAAGGCCCCCAAACTGTTTGTCATGTATTGTCTCATGGTCACTATGGAGACTTTGTGATTCCAAGTCTTCACTTTCTGCTGCAGTTCTCTAAGTTTGGTGATATTCTAATATACTTTTAATGTAAGAATTGCTGCAGAAACAATAAAGAAAAGTTTGCTTTTCTTTATTGTGTTTATTGTACTAGTTCCAGCTATTCTGGACCATGTCGTATGCTGAAGCATATCATTTTGCCTATCATTATCATTTTGCAACATGATAAGATATCTTCTGCCAGATGTTTGTGCCTGCATGTGTTTGTAAGTAACTGTACACAAACATGGATGAGAAAGATGTTTCCATTAAACTTGTGGGAGGAACTAATTATTTCTAAAGGACTGAGTTCTGTTTGAAAAACAGAAATTATATGGAGAGGGTATGGCGTGCGCTTTAACATACTACATAATTTTACCTCTAATGTGCCTCTGTAACACCTTAAACTTGCTTCTTTATTTCTGTGTCTGGAAATAAAGAAGCAAGTTTAAGGTGAAATTATTTCTGTGAAAGTAAGTAAAGATATGTTTAAATCAGTATAACAGCGAAGAGTGTCCCCAGTTTAATCGGTTCTCTTAAGCAGCAGAATATGTCACCAAATACTAGAGCTCACAACATGACTAAAGGCCTAATTATAACCTCCATTTGGTCATGGTGACTAATTCTCAAGATCATGCTCTTTGCTCTGGTCTGTGCAAACTAGGACAGGTCACTAAGGACAGTTGGCACATATATTCTCCCTTTGCACAACATTTAGGATTCAGACCTTCTGCTAGCAGATTAATTAAAGCGTGAATTAATTCCCAGCAATCATCATTCCTTTTTGTACTGAGTACAACAGCGATTTACTTGCAAAAGATTACTACTTATCATAAAGAAAATATGACATGCTTTTGAATTGTAAGAAGTAGAATAGAAAAAACTGCAGAAGAGTAATTTTGTTGAAAAGTATTTTCTCATATATGTGGTCCAATGTTCTATAGGTTGGATGAAACCCGAACTGCTCCAGCTGAATCTTAGCTTCGACAGACTTTCAGAACCTGCTTTTCAACAAGCTGGAGAATGCTTCTTCAGGAAGGTTAATTGCAGGATCCCACATTCTCTGGTTCACTTTATTACAATCTTTGTAAAAAAACACAAAAAACAATAATACATCTAAAATCCATCCTAACGTTTTATTCTGTGATATGTTTTTTTATTTACTGAGAAAGCTGCTAAAATTGAGTAAATTTTGACCCCTAGTTTTCTAGAAGAAATATTACTCAGATAACTTCTGTGAAGGCGGGGATTGTTAGGAGCCTTGATAACCCGTAACTATAACCTACACAAGCTCTGAACTGTGATGAAAACACAAGCATTGTTTTTATCACAGTTCAGATTTTTTTTGCTCTAAAGCAACTTTTCCTCTTTTTTGCTGATTTGGATTCAGCAGATCTGTGTAATGTTCTGCATGCCTGTGTTGTGTGTTCCAGAGGCAGTGCAGCAGGCCTCGGGCCCTCTGCTGGTGGAAATAGTGAAAGGTCCTTCTGCCAGCCTGGGGATCAGCCTCACAACCACAACATACAGAAACAAGCAAGTCATCATTATTGACAAGATAAAGCCAGCAAGTGTGGCGGAAAGGTGAAGCAAATCTTCTGCATGTATCTTCAGTGCAAATTGTCTCTTGATGAAGCAGACATCCAAATGGAGCCTCTGTCTTTGTCTGACTCTCAGATGTGGAGCGCTTCATGTCGGAGACATCCTGCTGTCCATAGATGGCACAAACACTGAGCACTGCTCCCTGATGGAGGCAACGCAACTGCTGGCCAGCACCTCAGAGAATCTCAAACTCGAGATTCTTCCAGCCAGTCAGAGCAGACTTCCCATCAGGCCACAAGACACAGGTATGCCCTGCGGGTCACAGAAACCCTAGTTTATTGGGGGTTTTTTAAAGAAAAAAAATCAAGAAAAATTTTTTAAAAAGATAAGATGTAAGCAAGAGCCTGCAGCTTACAGTTATTTACCTCTATTTTTTACTGGTGGTATTAATAAATAATTTATCTGGACTGTAAAATGTCAAAACATTCTGGAAAGAGTATGGCTACCCTGAGGTGAAACTCACTTAAGAAAATTCATGGCTGTATTCTAACTACTTTTACAACTTTTCCTTTTTACAGTGGTCAGGTTTTCAGTTCCTAATTTTTTTTTTCATTCTTGTACACAAGCATATTTTAAAATGACCTATTCTCTTCGGAAAGCAATGAAATAACCAAACATGTTTCATACTTTCAAGAGTTTTTCATGTTATGGCTCTAAAGTATAAAGGTTTAAGAAAAACTATCGGTGGTTTTTTTGTTATCTGTATTATTTTTAAGTGATTTATAATTTTTTTGGTTTTGTCATGTGCAAGTTTTCCCCCAAACTCTTGTCTCACCATGTATATAGTGACCGCTCTGTTCTTTTCAGCATAACATGCAGCAGTAAAGGGTTTAGCTGTCTGTTTTTAGGCTTTCTGCTTCATCTTGACTGCGTGTTTTTTCTTTGGTATGCTTATAGCCCTTTGCTTTGCTTGCACACTTGCATGGACATTATCAAACAACACACAGATGAGCTTTGTCTGTCAGAGATCATGTTCCTGCAGTTTTATATTTGAATCAGCAGCTACAAGAACTTATAGTCCTGCGATGTGATGGATCACACTCGGTGAGAAAGCTTAAATAAAAGGGAAATGAAACTGTTGAACATGTTCCCAGATTTTACATCTTTCAATGTTTGAGCATACAGGTAAACATTAAAACTGAAATTTAATAATTTGCTGTTTTAAATACGTTCAAATTTGTTTTAAAAAAACTGACAGATTTTTAGGAGAATAACTTTTTTCTTACTTGATATCTAGCCACATTACTTTTCCTTCACATTTCAGTTTGTAATATTTTTTTAATGTTCACTATTTCTATCGGCTGTGGGACATTTGACAGGACAACAATAACAACAGCCTGGCATCAAGCTGCCATGTTGTTGCAATATCTGCAAAAAGATATCTTGTGTAACTTTGAATTAAATAAATATAGTAAATAGTAAAAATTCAAATGTCAATTGCAGTATGTTTATGTATGTTTAAATATGTATGTTGGTTCCTAAACAAATATACATACATATGTAGGTTTTTTGTATGTATACATACATGTATCACAAAAAGTGTCACACAGACTTTATTGAATAAATGTAACTTTATGTAACTAAATGTAAGTTTTTTTTTAAATTCAGGCTTTATTGATTATTAAGTGCAAAGTCTCCACAAACTTTTAAGTAGTAACTCTCAACTTTCTATATGACGACTCACAAGATGACTGAACTTCTGGCCACCAAACAAGACAAAGTTCCATGTTTGAGATGAGCAATGAGGTAAAAGAATCTCCACAGCTTGTTGCTGTAAAAACTGGTATTTTGGGATCACCAAGTCTCAATAAAAACTATTACACATTATTTACATGCAAACCACGTGTTTGGAAGATATCGCATTTGAAAATTATTTTCTCTCCTACTGTCACAAACATGAATTTCTCTCCTACTGTCACAAACATGAATTTCCCTACTGTATTTCTATTATATTCTCTCACATAAGGAAAAGTACTTCATTCTCACTTTTAGGTAGGGTGGAGGGTGTGTGATGCTTTGGGCTTCTGTGTCAAATGACAGGTGAAAATACTCTATGATCAAATGTTTGTTTTTTTAATGTTTTACACATTTTTACTAGAGGAGCGACTAAATGAGAGAAACAATCCATCCATTATTGCACACAGATTAAAAAGATCTCTTAACATCACTTGGACTATGCGAGATGAAAATGTCAGTTTGAACTTGTTTAGGTGGATGTAACACTAGATATTACATCAGATAAATGATTCACATGCTTCTGTTGATGACCAGTATTGTAACAATCTAAGCATGTTTTCTGATATTCGCTTTCAGTGACAATTCGTTATTTAGTAAGTGTGCTTTTGAGATGAAACAGTTTTCACAGCTCCTTTTCTCTGGGAGGAGATGTGATTATAAAAAGCAATTTGTTTAATCTTCTCACAGGATTTAATGAGGCTGACTGAAAGATTAGAAGACATATCTTTCCACCCACTAAGACTGAAAGCAAAATATCTTGAAAAGAGTGCCCTAGGTGAGCTTAATTCAAGCTGGCAGAGTCAGGGCTTTTCAGGCTGATTTGAGCAATGTAGATCATGGTTTCTTCAAAAGGCCCAGAGGTTCTGCTGCATGTAGTCTGAATACGTGTGATTGGATTTAACCAGGGTCCTCGAGTATTGCTTGCATGCCAGGCACCAGTCAGCAATCTCTCGATAAAATACTTCATCCATGCAAGCAAGCTGTCAGAGATTAGGCTTTTCCAAACGAGGCGACAAGGATGAATGTCAAATTTGTAACTGAATGACTGATAACGGCTGCCTGAATCTGGAAGGAGGCGGTAATAATTGAGGTGAGTGTCAGACAGTTGGTCAGCTGTTTTTCCTTTGATCGCTTCATGAATGCAGCCTGACTAAATGCTAAGATTTTCACTTGTACGATGAAACCATTTAACATGAACCAGACTCTAGAAATGTGGATTTAAACTGCATTGAGGGAATAAAGACTGACACAGAGCACTTTTAGTGGTGCCAATCAGACGCAGAGACACAAACTCTGCAGTAATACCAATCAGGCCTTCAGCTGTGCTCAATCAAGGAGGCGTGGCATGCCTCCAGGCAGTCAGTCAGCAGGACTTTCTGATTGTGTTCACCAGTCTGATTCCCTTTGTCGGAATGAAATGATCAAAATGATTTTCAGTTTGAAATCGGCTCTGTGGAGCCTGGCCAGTATAAGTAAGATTTGTTTCAAAATATTTCTATTATTTGTCAAAAAAAAAAAAAAATGTCTGATTGATCTGCAAATACATTCAACTCCAGGATTCAATCAAAAAGTGTTGGGTAAAACACGTTAAATATCCGTTACTTGTTGCTGACGTATCCTCCAGGCAGAGATTTAAATTTAGACCTGAAAAGCAAACTTTTCCAGTGGACTTGATTTTTAAAATGAGTCATCTTATTTTAATGATGCATGTGTGTATCTTTGTTCTTGTTGCTGCAGTTAAAGTACAGAAAAGCAACTATCATCACTGGGACCAAAGCAGCAACTACTGCCAACCCCCACACGCCAGCCACAGCAAGACATGGAGCAGCCCGAGCCACCCACACAACCAGCAGGACCACTGCAAGTGTAAGTTATCTCTTGTGACAGCTCTGCTGCTGGCAGGGCCGTTTTTCTGGCTCTTTAACAGAACAATTATTAAAACATCTCTCCGTGACTAATAATAGTCACAACCTTTTTACTTTTTTTGCTCCATTCTACTGCTGTGATTTTTTTTGTGTTATTTTCTTCTTATTGCTGTATCAGCCCTTGTGTTGCTCTGTTTGTTTTAGCAGCTGTGAGCGCCGGCTTCTCCCCTTCATCCACAGCCACCTCCGGCTTCAGCAGCCAAGGTAGCAACACTCTGCCCTGCCCCATTGCCCCCGTTGCCCCCGCGACCCCCCGCAGTGCCACTGGGAGGAGAAGGAACAGGAAGAAGGACCACAAGAGCTCATGTAAGATAAATTATCTCCTTTTGTGTTACAATAAGAGACTGAGACTGCTAATTATTTTAAAGCAAACTTAAAACTTGTGTTTTTGTGCTGTCAATCTGATAAAATGTAGTGATTTGAAGAAACAAATCAGATTACAGATTTCTTCTTTTTGCATGTTTTTTTTTATATTGGACAAATGTAACCTTTGTCAAAAGTAATCTCATTAAATCTGTCAACTGGTTGTGCCATCTTCAGCAGCAGTAATGGGAAATAAGGGATTTAATTTCCAGTCTTTTTCAGAGAATTGTTGGTTCATCCACACCGAAAATAAACTAGGCCCTCCAAAACTTCCCCCCCCTACCCCCCCACATTTTTTTTTCTTGAGCCTTCCATTGGTGAACTTGAACTTTCGACCATCTTCATGCAAAACAAATCAAATGCAGCTGAAGTTAAGATCAAGAATTGATCTCCGTTAGAATTTTCAGGTCAAGTCCAGAATTCTTGATTCCATTAATTATGGAAAGCTGTGCTGGCCCTGCAGTAGCAAAGCAGTCTCTTACTGCCACAGCACAACCACAATGTTTGACTGTCTGCATAATCTTGTTTCCAAAATTCTGTATTCGTTTTGTGTCTGTGTTCATAGTCTTCAAAAAGTTCCACTTTTGTGGAGCAGAATGTTTTTCCAAAAGTCTTGGAGATCTTCTGGCAAATAATAAAGAAAAGGCTATATGTGATCTGTTTGGGTCAACGATGGTTATTCTTTCTCATGGATGAAATTTCCCCCTCTTTAAATTGTCTCATCTCTTTTGAAGCACTTTGTGTTCTGTGTGTAAAACATTCTCAACGCATAAATATTGACTACCATGTTTAAATCCAGGCCTGCAGTTGCAGCACACCTTGTCAGTTTATCAGACCATCTGATAAAAGTGATGTAGTTTCATTAAATAGTCCTGCATGGAGTGAAATTTTAGTCAGCTGCCTGGTCTTGTTAGTATATTTAGGAGTTCAGAGCCTTGAAGTGCTTCCACCGAGGTGTGAAAATGGATTTATCTGAGTAACCTGAGCCTCTACTCAAATAGATTCAGCTGATTGTTGACGTAAGCGTGACTGTGACTCATTCACTTCCTATTCCCATGCCACTGAGCCAGTGGGTGGTTGTCTGTTCTCCTCACCCTCTCAAACCATCTCCAAAGGTCCCTCCCTTTGCTCCATCTCTCTGCCACATTTCCAGTGGTATCGCTGTGTGACGTGTCCGCTCTCTTTCTCCCCTCTTCCTTAGTGTCCCTGTCCTCCAGCTCTGTTGGTCCTGGGGGGCAGATTTTCCATGTGGAAACGAGTGAAGTCCTCCTGAGGGGGGACCCACTAACTGGTTTTGGGATCCAGCTGCAGGGCGGCGTGTTTGCCACAGAAACGCTGTCTGCACCCCCGGTCATCCGCTTTATAGAGCCCGACAGCCCCGCTGAGAGGTAACCCAATCAGACACCTAACCTGAACTCAGGCAGCAAACACGGTCACCTTTATCTGAAGGGCCTCAGTTCTAATGAGGGAAGAAATTCACTCACTATGTAACCGACAGACGTTCAGCTGAGGGCGTTCAATTAGGAAGTTGGATGTCCTGCATCTAGAGTGATCTGTCATTTTAAATGCAACAAATTGAATCCCTGCCTTAGATTATACATTAGTGGACGATCATTACTGGTTGAATGCAGAAAAAAGGAAATCTCTCTAACTGGAGTGTTGAAGTTGTCCCAAACACAAATATGTTTATAAATGTAACAAATTCTAAATAATTCAGTGACTATTGCCAACAAAACTATTTGCACTGCCTGCAAATAGTTTTGTTACCGTTCATGATGCCCAACTCTGATTTGGCTTGCCTGGAATAAAACGCTTAAACTCATGGAACGTGGTGGGAATGTTGTTGATGATAAATGCAGCTTAAGGGAAAGTTGGGTTAATCACAGCCAGTTGTAGTCATTGAAGTATTCAGCAATAATACTCCAATCGGAAATGTTTTTCTGACGCAAAAATAAAATTGTAATGCGAGTCATTAGCTTGATAAACACGTCACTTTTATTCTGCGGTTAGTATTATATGCAGTGATCTGGGAAAACTGGTAGAACAAAAAAGGTGTAATTGGGAAAATAGAATCAGATTCTATCAACAAAAAAAACATGTTTCTTGTCCTAACTAAAATGTGATTTAACTGACATTTCTTTTTATTTATTTAATTTTGTCAAGTTACGAGAAGCAAAAAGACATTTTAGTTTCTGGATTCATTGTGTTTTCTCAAGGCTTTTGTGGCATTTGTAAGCACTAAGTGTCTCCTGCTGTTAGACTGAAGCCCAGAGCAAGCTTTAAGTTTTCCAAATCAAGCAGAGAAGTATTGTATGTGACTGAACAAACACGCTGTCTTCATGCCTGTATGTCAAGGCCGCCTCAAGTGTTTCTAGGCTCCTCTGAGGACATCTGCATTTAAAGATGTTTAAAGGAAAACGTGGCTCTATCAAATGCATATTCAAATTGACCTACAGAAAACAAAAGCATTAACCTTGTCTGAATATTGAATAATGCAATAATCTCGTTACTGTTGCTTGGATTTGAAATTCCAATATTTATGCTTTTTTTTTCTTGTAGGGAGCATTGGTCACAGTGACAGTGTAAACACAAACTGAATACATTTATTGGTATGAGTTGAAAAACTATAGTTGAAGATAATATTTTTGTTCAGGGATTAGTGGTGGCTATTGAAGAAGTTTAGTTTTCAACATTTTCTACATGGCTTTAGTCAAATGTTTTGGATCGCTCTCATCAACCCAATAGTGACTCTTTTTCACTTTTGTAATTCAGGCCAACATATTGTTAAACAGTTTTTAAGAGATTATTACTTAATTGAGTATTGTCTATTTTAAATTGAAAAGAAAACTCCACAAAAACATGAAGTTTAGAAATGCTGGTTGCATTTATTTTAAATGAATGATTTAGGGTAAAAATAATTGCGTTGTCGCCCATTTAAATTTTTGTTTTAATATATGTGATCCCAGAAATCTAATATATTTCAAATATCCTATCACCAAAGGGGTGTAAAGGTCACAGAATAAATCTGAAAGGACAACAGATGGCTGAAGGCATGGAAACATCTGCTGCGTTTAATTTTTCCAGCTATGCTGCCAGCAGCTTCGCACTGTGAACACTGTTGGTCAGTGGTACTTGTTAATATCAGGAAGTGTGGTCATGCAGGTTGACTGGGTTCTGTTTATGGCTGGAGAAATGGTTCACTGAATAAGTCAGTGATGCATTAAACACGAAATGGGTTCTGATGTCTCGTCTTCATCGTCCTCCTGATCGAAGGCAGAATGAGGCGTATTAATTCAGAAAGCAGTACATGGTGCTGTGTCGTTAGCACACATCTTAAATGAGGCCAGTTTATAGAATCTGTCCTACAAGACTAATGATGTGTGTGTCGGCAGCGCGGGGCCGTGTCCCCCGGGTCCTGTAACATGATTAGTCCAGAAGCAGTTTGACATGAGTGACTAAAGTACAGCGGCCCACTGTGATTTTAGTGCCTCAGCCTCCAATGCAAGGTCAACGAGCTTCAGTTTTCAGTGAATTAATTTCAGTTGACAGCATTTAGCATTTCCTGCACAGTTTGGGGTCTCTGTAATGGTGTCATTATGTGTATGCTTCCTACCTCCTCCAGACATCAGTGCTTCCTTGGTGAGATCACTTTGAAGCTGATTTAAAGATACCACCAAGGTGTTCATGCCAACTCTGTGGGATTCCATTTGACTTCATACATGCTGCTTTTAGTAACTGCTCTGATGTGCAGAGTTGGTGCTGCAAGACCTTGTCTGCAATAAGCTGATCTTCACCACAGTTTTGTATCTGCTGCTGCTGGTAAAATTCTTGTCCTGTTGCTTTGATCATGATGCTTATGTTGGTAGAGCTGAAGAAGAGGAAGGTAGGACTCCTACCTAGGAATTTAAAAATTCAATTCTTTTTGATTATCAAACTGATCGGAAACACTCAGAATAGTGAGTCCTTATGTCAACAGCAAAACACCAGAAGCACAGGTGGACATGTAGTCACTCTTGCTGCCACAAGAGGAAGACAAAATCTAGGTAGGGGTCATGTGTAACTAACATGTTTAATTTGACTAGAAATCTCTGAATAGAATGACAATTAAATGGTGTGGGCCTCAAGCCATTATGATGTATAATTTATACATTTCATCTTTTTATGAATTGAAAATTATATCTGCCCATTTACAACTATACCAGTTTTTGATATTTATAACTGCACTTTTTACATACTGCTATTAAATCATTTATTTTCCATCTTCCTGTTTGTATTTTCATTGTTTATTTGTAGTTTTTATTTCCTCAATTATCCTCATTTTTCCTCAAAATTTTCTATGCATTTTATAGTTTTTACCCACTTACATTTATATTTTATTTTAATATTTTTGTGTTTCATCTATTTTTGTTGGAGTTTCTCTTTATATTTTCAGTATGCTTTTTTTTTCTGCTTTCTCTTCAAAACGTATATTTTTTTCATTTCTTGAACAAACTTCGTTGAATTTAATATGTGACCTCGGTTACCACCTTAGTTATGTGTGAAGAACCTTAAATCCTCTGGTGTTGTCTTTTTACCAGATCACACATAAGTTTGTAAAGAAAATGATCAGAGGCACTGATGCAAATAACTACAGTTTATTTAATCACAATAATGCTAGGCATAAATAGTCAATTCATTTTTATTGTACAATATCAACCACTTTAAAATCCTAAATCTATGCTGGAAATGAATGATTTAGGGTAAAAATAAGAAGAAACTCCCCTTCCACTAGTCTCCTCAATCTAGATAAAACAGCTTGGAACCAGGGACAGCACAGGTTATCTACAAGCGAGCCTGGAGGGCTGAACAATAAAAACTCCCAAAAGAATAAAAAGTTTAATCCATAAATAACCAAAACAAACTAAAACCGAAACAGTAGCAGGCCAACCTGCACACAGAGAATAAAATTAAACAGATATTTTAAATAACCACATAATAATGAACTGCCTTTACCTTCGCTAAAAGCTAGCAGAGCTCTGTATATCCTCTCCAAGAGGAGGTTTCCTGCAACAATAAAATGGAGCCATCAGAAATAATTCTCAACCCAGCGCACACTTCATGTTAACCATACCTGCAGAGAAATCAGCCTGGACTCTCACCCTCTCAGCGATCTACCCGCTTTTAAATGTAAATACCGATTGCTTGCCTGCGTAATGAATCAGCTGCGCTAAAACAGCGTCTTCCTTATATGGGCAACCGGAAGAGTGCATAATGGACATAATGCCCCGGCTACAAATAGATGCATACATTTTATCTGTATGTTTTTTGGTACATAGGTGTGGACTGCTGCAAGTTGGAGACAGAGTGTTGTCCATCAATGGGATCCCGACTGAAGATGGCACTCTGGAAGAAGCTCATCAGCTGCTCAGAGATTCTGCTCTGGCAAACAAAGTTACAGTGGAGGTTGAGTTTGATGTTGCAGGTATCGCCTACTGAAAAATATGCGCTATAAAACTTAAAGTCCGGTTGAGCTTCACCTTTCTGTTCTGGTTTTTTTTTTCTTCTTCTTCTTTGTTTGAATCCAAATTAGAGTCTGTTGTTCCAAGCAGTGGCACATTCCACGTCAAACTACCGAAGCGGAGAGGAGTGGAGCTGGGCATCACCATCAGCGGTAGATCTGAGGGACTGTCAGCAGGGGGCAGTGTTGCTCAATCACACTACATCACTTTCAAGTTGTGGAGTCTGAGTTTTCTCATCCATAAAACCGAGACGTGTGAAAATATGGAGGCACATAGCTCATTACCTCTGAACAATACTGGTCTGTACCAGTGTCCTTCATTAGCTTTTCTGCTTCAACTACCTCTGAAAAAACACACACCCACGCACACACACACCAAAAGGGAAAGCCAAGGTGCACAGAAAGACATGCAACATTATTGATTTTTCAGAATCTTCTCTGTTCTTTTACGCTGCTACATGGAATAAAACATTTATTTTCCCATTTTTACCAGCAAGTAAGAAACCTGGCAAGCCCCTCATCATCTCAGACATCAGGAAAGGAAGCATAGCACACAGGTGGGTTCCATCATGCATATATTTACATATCCCACAGTTGGATACTGCTGGTGGTCACATCAGAGACAATGTTCCTCAGGATTTACCCTGAGTCGCTCATGGACCAGATATGTCTGCTGTGTACAGAGGCCTGATAGGATTGAGCCATCATAACTAAATCAGTAGGGCAACTACATTTCAGCCGGGGTCGGGGTCAATTAGGTTTAGGGTGAGGTTACGGTCACCCTCACCGATCCCACGGAGGCTAAGAGGATTCTGCAGATGCTACTTCTGGTCCAGGTTAATGATTGTGATCATCTTGCTCTTGGTTGTGTCTGCTAGAACAGGCACTCTGGAGCCCGGGGACCGGCTGCTGGCCATCGACTCTGTACGCCTGGAGAACTGCACCATGGAGGACGCCATGCATGTCTTGGAGCAGGCCGAAGACATGGTCAAACTGCGGATCCAGAAGGACGAGGACAACATTGGTACAAGGATCCTCCCTCATAAAATCTTAATGTTCAAAGTAAACAAAAAGAGCATTCATCCAGTTCATTATACAAGATTTATGGCTGTGCAAAATGTCTTGACTTTATAATTTTTCACGCTTCATATTTCTACACGCAGCGAGTTAAAAAGGCAACTCACTGCCTTTAAAAAAAGCCCCATTTGGACTAAATGTTGGTGCAAGGGGCTGTATAGTTAAATAGGAACAAAAATAATGTAACAATAGATTAAAACCAATCATTTAGTTGATACTACATACCAACGCAACAAAGTGTGTGATTCTGAAGTGTATGAATGATCTGCATTTGTATTCAGCTCCCTTTAATGTGATGCCTAAACCTCATTGCAACAAATTTTGTTGGCTAAAGGTGAAACCGCCCAAGGGGAATGAATACTTAAGCAAAGTACCGTATAATCAAGGTGTCAAGCTTTTCTCATCTTCCACTTGTGATCTTGGCACACTTTAAATTATTTGGTGTAAAGGATGACAGCTAGGCTATAAAGGTTTAACAAGCCTTGTTAAGGATCCCTAAACCAGCAATCAAGCTCTGAGGGGCGTCTGTGTTTTTATAATGCATCTTAAAGAAATTTATAACACATTTTATCCGCCTGAGGGTATTGTGTGCTTTTTGCTGTAGATGAGCTGGAGATGTCAGGCTCCATAATCTACACAGTTGAGCTGAAGAGGTTTAATGGACCCCTGGGCATCACAATATCTGGCACAGAGGAACCTTTCGACCCCATCGTCATTTCTGGCCTTACCAAGAAAGGTCTGGCAGAAAGGTGAGCAAAGATCGGGTTTAAAAACACATTAAGCTTGTTTGCTGTTCCTGATGGATCTTTTTAGTTCCTGATGGATCTTTTTAGTTCTTTTTGATAACAAATGAGATGCTTGAACAATAGCTGGCTGGTTTCTTTCAACAAGAACAAGAAGCCTCTTTGTTTCTATCTGTGTCCAATCGCTGGCAGTCTGACAGGATTCTCCAACCGGCTCTGTTGTTGCTGTCTGGTTTAATCTGGTAACTCTTTCTCCTCTGCCTTCCTGTCCCTGCAGAACCGGGGCCATCCACATAGGAGACAGAGTTCTGGCCATCAACGGGGTCAGCCTTAAAGGGAAGCCTCTGAGCGAGGCCATCCATCTACTGCAGATGGCTGGGGAGTCCGTCACCCTCAAAATCAAAAAACAAGCTGACCGTATATATCTCCTTTTTGAATTATTTGCTTTTCAATTGATCTAGATGGAAACTGTTACATTTTCAAATGACTAAATTAAAAAATAATTGAAAATGATTTAAAACAAAAAATAATTTGATTTGTGGAAAATTAAGACATATCTTGGCACATAAATTCTTTCGATTCTGTGTTTATGGAGGGCTATTTGGCATCTCTTACATTTCTGCTTGTGTGTTTCTATTTTTCAGAAATCTATTTCCAAAGTTAACTCAGGTTTTCAAAACATTTTTCAACACTCCAAGATATTAGCAAACAAAGATGAATGGAAACAAAAAGCAAACAAAACTGTTCAAAATTAGGAAGTTCAAAACAATTATAAAGAAGAAAATTATCTTTCCTAAGTAACTGCTCTGCTTTTTACTCCCAGAGTCGGATTGTCGGCGGTTGGCAGACAGAGAAGGCGGCTTTCTAAGCGATCCAGAGGATGAACTAACAGACTTCCAAAAAACCAGCAAACTCTCAGAGGTCTACTCAGCCAATGTTCCCAGCATAGACTCGGCCATGAGCTCCTGGGACAGTGCGGCGTTTGATGCAGGCTACATTAGCCAAGGTGGGTGCTTGAGTACGGCACAGTGGAAAAATATTTACCCCAATATTGAATTCTTCTGCTTTTATTATTCTAGGCCACACATGCATATTTCAAGTCATCAAAGGAATTTCAATGTCAAACATAATCTGAGTAAAAACAAAAAGCAACTGTTTTGAAAGAGGGCTTCAATGATTTATTATTGAATCATAAACTGTGATAATTTTTTAAAATTATTTTAAACATTAATTGTATCAGTCACAACCAGGCCTGATCACCTATAGACATGTAGAATCAGCAAATTACTTAAACAAAACCTGTCTGGCAACATGAAGCAGACTAAAAGACTTTGTATTTGTTGGACATTGACGTTTGTTTGATCTGAGGCATTTAGCAAAAATAGAGCAAAGAGCAAAAATATAAAATATCTGTAAGGAAAAGGGGGAGAAAAAAAATCTATTTTTCTTCCAGGGCTATATCTGCATAAAACGTCCGATTTCCTCCTGAATCCACTTGACTGGAGGCGCCCGAAGCACAGAAGCCACACACCCTCCAGCTCTGGGGGTTTGGGACTGCAAGCAGGGCTGTATGATGGAGGATTCACTGAGGATGAGTGGGACAAGATACCTGGGTGAGTCCTGAGGGCTGAGCTTATGTTTCCAAGCAACTGAGAAGAAATGTCCTGTTCAACAACAATGGTCCAGTTATTTTTATTCGTTCTAAAGCTGTTTCTAAAATCATTTCAGGCTTGTTCTTGTTGATGTTGTGACTGCTAACACTGAATTGTAGAAGTGAAATGGAAATGTTAAATATTGCGAAGCTTTCATAACTGGACTGCGAACTACGAATAAATATGTCGACCAAAAAAATGCGCTGAATGCTGCATCACAGTTTGAAAAATGAGGACATTAGGAACAGGTTGTATAATATTTAAGGTATGATAGTGTGTTAGCTTCATCTGCAGTAACTGAGAGCAAGTTTGTATCTTTAGGTGGGAGTCATCACAATATTATAAGATGCATTTATATAGCTGTGTTGATTAAAATTGAATACATATACTGTTACACTGGCGATCTGTAGGACTTTTAAAGTTCTCATTGTCAACATCTGTGTCAACATATCTATAGGTGGTGATTGTCATGTTTTTTTTTTTTTTTTTTTTTTTATGTATATATATTTTCGTTTGTTTAAAAGATGCAATTCTGGTCAGATCAGAAAAACCAAGAAATTGAATGCAACGTTTTCAGTTCTTCCAGAAATAAACACACACCATTTCATCCATTTGCAAAGATGTTCACTTCTACAACCATTTAAAAACTATTTTAAATGTGTTTTGTGCAAATGAACTCGTTATGCTTTCTTTCAGATTTTAATAGTCTACACAGGTTTCGAATTAACTTTGGTTCAGTTGGTAGAGTAGTGGTCGTGAAGTTGTCTGCTTACTACTTCCTCTTGTCTCATTTATCTCCCTTTATTGAGGTTGGGCATGTGATTCCAAGTTGTCTACTTATTTGCATATTAGTGTATCTTCTGTCACTCGACACTTGAGTGGCGTGTGAAATTTTCTCTCATGATTTCAAAGTAAAGGTTTGAAATGAACCAAAGTAAACAGCCAGCCATTTAAATTTGACACGAAAAAACTGTTGACTGACATGCACCCTAAATCTTTACAATCGGATGAAATACACCAATTGAAATAATGACTTTAAATTGCTGGTAGCTTTGATGTGGAACAGAGAATGGTCACTCTGGCCAGAGCTGTATTCTTTGTCTAAACATGTTGCTGTTTTTGTTAAAAAAGCTCTCTGCGCCTGTTTTATCATGTTGTGTACATACATGTTGTCTGCTTTTCCAATCTGTCCTTCTTTTCTTCTTTCTCAGGTATTCTATCTCTGATCTGCTTTATTAACTGTTCGCAAGCTCTCTGGTATCACAATCAGATGCCCTGTCATCCCTTATCCACACAAAATGCAAAACATTGTCCTCTGAAAGCAACTAAAAGACTTAAGGATACATCTGCCTCATGTCTCCTCAAGCTTGACCCATATGAACTTAAGTTTCTTTCCTGCTTTTTTTCTAAATCTAGTTGGACTCCTTTCAGTCCCTTCCTGAGCCAGTTTACAGTAAAAAAAAAAAAGTTTTTGTCTTTCTTTTAATGTTTGCGGCTCTCCAGTGCAGCAGCCAAAAGAAACTGCATTTCCCATGCTGCTTTTCTATGCAGCAGTCCCCTCCAGACTTTGCAGGGCCGCTCTTATGTTATGGTTCCTGCACTGTCATAGATTCGTCAGCCCCCCTCGCTGCCGTGGCACGTTGAACAAGGACGACAGCTTCTGGTCCCAGGCTCTACAGGACCTCGAGACCTGTGGCCAGTCTGGGATTCTCAGGGAACTAGAAGTAGGTGGCCTCCATCTGCTTTGTCCTTCTGATTCCTTGGGCTTATCCCAGCTTTAATGAACATGCCTGATGAAGCATTATGATAACCATCAGTGAGTAATCTCTGATTAAATCTGACAAGACAAGCCGGGCACCTGTTTCCAGATTGACCAAGGAAGGGTTTTGCACAACGCCTCAGCTGCTAATCTGCATACTAAGATGCATTTAAAAAAATACATGCATGCTTGCTTTATTTACTTTTTTGTTTGTTTTGGTTTACTACATCATATTGAAACAATTCTTGTCCATGTCGACTCTCCCAGGCCTCTATGACAGGCAGCACTCTGAGTCTGTACCTGGAGGAGACCAAGACCAGTGAAGACTCAGTGTTGCTCTCTAAGATTAGTCCAATAAAGACGGAAGGAATCCACAGCGGGTCTACAAATAAAAGCCTGAACATGTCGACAGGGGCCAGAGATGGATCATCCAGGGCCAAAGGGGACCCCTCTGACATTCTGTCCCCTTCATCCCTGGCACTGCAGAAGGTGAATTGAGGATGTGTGCCTCATCTACAGTTGGAGAAGAAAAAGGCTTAATGCTAGTTCTGCAAAAGGCTTCATAAGATGTGTGAAAATACTGGAAATGTATCTTGTAGCACAATTACCAGAGTACTTTTACCAGCGGAATTTTAAGCTTTTTTTTTTTTAACAGAGTAACTATTGCCAGTATTAGACATTAAAATAAATACAATTAAGAAAAATATCAGTTTACATGAATATTTAATAAGTTCCGAATCAATTTGTTTTTCTGCATTATGAACCATGTCAATATCTGAATGCAAACATATTATAACCCAAGTCCCTCATGCCTCCCACCAGCACAGATGGTGGCTATAGAACATCGTACGTCTGCCTCATTTTCACACATTTTTCCAAGCAGAAAACGGCGTAGCGACGTCTCAGACCCACTTGTGTCTCCTTTACTTCTTTTACAGTAACTGAACTATGTGAATTGCTGCCCTGTCTCTTCCCATTGACAGGACGGGCGGGGGGGGGGGAATCATCAAAATCAACAAATTATAGAAGCAAAGAAAACAGACTGGTATCACAAGAGAAGAGTCATGATTACTAAAACATGTTCCATGATTTAGTTTTAGATGTTGATGGGTAGGAAAAACGGGAAGCAACTGTACAAATAAATCATAATGAAGAAAAACATGCTCAGATCGGAAACGGTATTCAACATCACCGCCGACATTCACATGACGCATGACAGGACATGTTCTGGGCAACGGCTCACACATGCAATGTTCACATATTCAATTTTTTTTTCCTTTTAATGAGGTTAAAAAAAAAAAAATCCATCAGCTTCACCTGAAACCACATGTGATGCATCATATGATCAATTTTCTCAAACGTGTTGCTGCCTGCCTCAGGTTATGTTTGACTGGCAATAAAGAAACTCATAACTGTTGTCAACTGACTAATAATTGTATTTGCAGTTGATACAACTTTTCTCATGTCATGGAAAGTCATCTTAACGGCACCTTAAAGTTGTTGTTTGGTTATGGATAAATCTGCTGTTCTTCCAAAACGAAACGCATAATTTGCAGGCATAAAGCTGTGGTTGCTCAAACTGTTTAGTGTTTCCACATAGGCTGAAGGAAACAAAGTGTCAGTGTCAGTCCGGAATTGCCAGTTAGCAGTTTTCAGTGTTTGGCAGTACACTGTCAAATTTGTTAAATTTAAATATTCTATACTACTTGATATGCATGTGTGCAACTGTGATTGTTTTTTGTTTGCAGGTCTCTCTTAGGAAGGATCCTGAGAGCCATGACTTTGGTTTCAGTGTATCAGATGGGCTCTTGGAAAAAGGAGTTTATGTCAACATGATTAGGCCAGACGGCCCAGCTGAACAAGTTGGTCTGAAACCTTACGACCGGATACTTCAGGTACTGTTTCTCTTTGAGCAAGTTAAAAATGTATGAGGGGGGGGAAAAAAGCTGAAATAACTTGTTGCAGAGCTCATTAGAATAATCTGCATTCTCTGCCGACATACTTACTTAAATCATGTTGCTGTTAAAAGTAAACGCTGACATCTTTTAGCAAGACATGAGATTTTGATAATTTCACATCTTTTCCCTCATGAATTGACTTGAGTGTGGAAAAAAAAAACACCAAAAACTGCTACAACCTGATTGCATCAGTGTGTGCATTTTAAACTATGCTGAGATACAGTTTCACTCTCTATCAGCATTCTATCATCTTCAGTAAGTGCCCGTCACCATGGCACATTTTAACTCGGCACTATTTACTGTTTGTATCTCCATCCACATCGTCAACAAGCCCTGTCCCATCTAAGGCAGAGGTTCTCCATTCTGGTCTTTAGGGACCATTGCCCCATGTTTTACTTCTGCCACAAGCCTTCAAAGTGTTTTACATGTATATCTTTAAATACATAATCAAATTGACAACAACCCCCCATAACAGTAATCTAAGTACTGATGTGAAACTGTTTTTGAAAATGTGCTACTAGTTAAAAAAAAATTTGAGAACCATGACGCTGAGCTTTTAACCCCAAAGAATCAAGTAACAAGAAAAACTTCACTTCAGGCTTAACGGGTTAAACAAATGCAAAGTTGAATGATAATTGGTGGTTGTGTTCTTCCAGGTGAACCGTGTGAGGACCAGGGACTTGGACTGTTGTCTCACTGTGCCTCTAATTATGGAGGCCGGAGACTGCCTGGATCTGGTCATTAGCAGGAATCCACTGGCAGCCGTTTACACGGAGCTGCCCAACAACTGTGACGACCCCGCGAGCTCGCTTCTCTGCTTCGCCAACTACAGGACCAACAGCATCGCCCTGTGAACACGGGGATGAAAGTGGAACACGGCAGCGCTGGGATCTCACACATGCAACACACGTGGTTCAGTTTGTCACATTGTAGCTCTCTGATGGACCTTTACGCTCGTGTTCTTCACACAGGAACAACCACACTCTGCCTCAGAGCATCTCTCTCTCTCTCAACATTACACGACTGTTGCTTTTGGTCACTGCTGTGTTCAGATGATTTAGTTCTGTGGAGACCGAGCCTTCAGAACAGAGTCCCCTATCACTCTTTCCCCTCACTCCCCTCCTCGCCAGTGGCGGAGCCACGTGGAGGGTTATATAACAGAAGAGTCATTGCTTCTGACGGGGGCCAGGATGTCAACGCACATGTCTTCACTCTGCAGGATCGCATAATGTGCACACTCACAGCTAAAGATCTAATATATTTTAACATTCCTGTTGCCACTGGTTTTATTGTACACAAGGAATGCTTTGGTTTATGTGAATGGAAAGCACTAACAGAGACACCAGGTGTTGGTGAGATCAAGGAACATTGCACTTATTTGAGTAATTTCAGCCATGAGTTGGCTCACTGTCTTAGTTTCTGGCCTCTGCCCAGCACTGGCTGCCCTAAAAAGCAGATGAGCCCCCGAATAGTCTTGAGCACTCCCTGAAACCTGCCAACAACTTTAGATTTTAATGCCACAAAAACACTTGAGGTCAATTAAACCTGTTGATGACACTTGAATTATGATAATGCTCTGATTTGTTACAGAGATGTTTGTGTGCACAAATGATTTCTTTTAATGTCCACTTTTTTTCTTTTTTTTTCAATATTTGCTTTTGTCACACATTTACAAAGATGTGGGTCGTGTTCATTTTGCACATGTTCAAACACTGTTTCTCCATGTTTACTTTTGCTTTTGTTTTTTTTGAAAGAGTTCAAATTCAATGAAACCTTTCTGCACAATCTGCTCTTTCTAGCACGAAACTGAGGATGCACGCTGTATGCAAATCCTTCACATTTTCTGTGTTCTTTGAGGGAACTTTGTGAGAGTGCACTTTTTTAATTTAAAAGTAGGGTGTGGCAATTCCTTCTTTTCGTAATAAAACGAACGCACCGATCTGAAAGATTACCTTAAGTAATCATGTGGTGGCTGGTGTGAATATGATGGTGTCCCATTTGTAGCAGCCTTGGAGGCAAATTTATAGTTGGGTCAGCTTGCTTCAGACTTCTCATGAAATTTCATTCAACGTCGAGGCCCGTTTTAAAGGTCTTAGTATTGCAACCTTTTTGTAAACTGTATAAGGCATTATGGTGTGCAGTGTCTTTTTTTTTCTTCAGTAAAGGCCTATAATGTTTTAGGATCTTTGTGCAAGCAAACCTGAATGTGTTTCTGTACTTTTAGTTTTTTTATTTCCAAATCTGTGAATTTGTATGTTTTTGGTCAAAATGACCACTAATATTTATTGGATTTTAATTTAGCAAGCAGTCCAGTTTTTTTATTGTAATAAAAGTTATAAAACTGTAATGTGTCCAACTTTTAGAAAGTGTACTCTGTAACCCAATTGTTATGCAGAGCTGAAACAAATCAGTTTTACTTCCCTTTTAGCCCAAAAAATGAATGTAATGATCTTTGTTCATGATTCAGTTATGTTTATCGAAATGGAAACAGTTTCACAAGAAATATCCTTCAGTTGGCCAATTACAAGACAACTGTATTGGATTTACAACAAATTCAACTCTGTTTAAACCAAATGAATAATGTATCCCAACCACCGTTGAATTTGGATGAAATTGTAATTATCCAGTCATATGTCTATTAATTTAATACCAGTTACCAAATCCTTCTTTCACTTGTATATTTCAGCCACACATCTCAGATTAAGTAATGAATATACACTTGAATCTAGTTCAAAGATTTTACAGCTGTGAATTTAATTGTATACAGGTGGTGAACTTTAAATGTTAGTGATGGGTAAATGAGGCGTCACGAAGCGTTTCGAGCCGTAGCAAAAACTGTGTCGATACTGTGCCACTGAATACGTGTATATTCAATATTATCTTCGCCATTTTATCTCAACCTGTGAAGTTTTTCCCTGACTGAACGCAGCCTGTTGAACGTGACCAGGAGCCAATCAGAACGCGCCGTGACGTAAGGACGTTGGGAATCCCAAACAGTTGACATGGCAACTGAGAGTCCGGTGGAGATGTTGACTATATATAAAGGCCATTTTTAGATAAGTTTATTACTTGTGGTTCTGTTTATTCAGTTAAAAAACGGCAACTACGAAAAAACAGAACTCGCCTCCAAATCACAGTGCAGCAAACGGAGCGGCTGCTCTCTTTTATCAAACGCGAATCGGTTCTTGTGGCGTGTTGCTCCTGCCGTGTGAACCTGTTGGACCTTCAACGGCTCGTGTCGTGTGCGGTCACAGAAGTTTTGAAAATCGGCCAACAACCCTTCAATCGCGTGAATTAGACCTAAAACTCACAAGCTCCGCTCATCTCGTCTCGACCGCCGCCCTAACGCCTCGACTCTGGTCGCCATGATAACGTTTACGCATCCTTTCAAAATAAGATACAGACGCGCCACAAAAACCAACATTTTACTTTCGTGAAAATTTTAACTCGCGATAACGAGTAATGGGAGCCCTGAGCTCGTTTCTCTGTAACGAGACGGTCCCATCTCGCTTATGGACAGAAGGCCCCATTGCCTCATTAACGATTTGTCGAATGCCCGAGTTTATGCTAGGTGTATCATATGATTCGGATAGATCAAGTAGAAATTGAAAAGAACCGGATGAAACAACAACGAAGTGAGCACCAAGACCTTATTTTCTGATGTAAGATCAAATTGGTCCCAAAGTACGAAACCTTTCGTTTGCCTTGAGGCTCCACATCAATGCTGTACCGTAAAAAGACCAACATTTCTTTTGGTAAATGCATTCCGTTGACACAGTTTGGCGCGCCGGTGTCTTTCCTGTATCGGTCACGTGACTTGCTGAAAGCAACAGGCGCACCAACACGTGGTTTCGCAAGATGAAGCTTGCAGGATGACTCCAGTACGTTACGATTCATGTTCACAACAAATTTGAATGAACACGAGTGATTAATTTGCCGAGCACCACAACGCCCTTTAGTCAGGAGACTAAAGAGAAAACAGTAAACAAGACAAGAAATACACTCAACGAATTAAGGATTTAATAATCACGCACAAAACAAATGCACATTTCATACAAACAGTTATGGCATGATTGAAGTGAACTTAGAAAATCTTTAGCCTTCATAGTACAACTGCCCTACTAGTAAACTGTTAAATGAGACAAAAAGGTTTCTGCACAGCTCAGGTATTTGGGGATTTCAATCACAGCTGAAGAGTATAGAAGCTAAAGACTGTCATCGCTTTTTCTTGTCATAGAAACGTTAAGCAGGTTTATGTTGAGAACAGATGTCTAAATGCAGTGACACTGGTGTAACATGACCCATTAATCTAGTGGTGGTTAGGACTCTGGTTGCAGCATTTGGATGAGCAGTAGCTTCTGGAAGGAGTTTTTCTTTTTATTTTATTAATTTTGCAGAAACCATTTGAGACACAATAATATAATTTAATAGTAATGAAGGTGAACACACCCATAGACTTTTCTGTGTCTTTTGATGGGAACCCTATGCTCTGGTGGTGTTTTTAATATTAGTAGACCGATGTACTGTCTGACATGGATTCAGAATGCTACTTATTTGTTCACCCTTATTAACTCCATTCAAGTACGGATGTCGAGATTTTGTTTTAAAGCAGGAAAGGAAGAAGCAAACCACTTGCCTGTTCTGCTTTAAAACAGAGACAAGTCTGACTTATCGGCTTCTTAAAATTATGGATACACATTTTGACCGTAACTGTCTGTAGCTATGTAATAATACTAACAAATATATATAGTTGTGTTAGTTTGCGTGTGGGAAGAAATGTTGCGAAATTTGATCATCAGAGCTAGGGTGAGCATGTATAGATGTTGAATAAAAGTGGTCCAAAGCTGGAGCTTTGAAGTACCCTACATGTGATCTTTGTTTGCCCAGATTTAAAACAGTTTTAGTTTATCAAGTAAAATCAGAACAAATTTAAGAGAATAATCAACAACCTCATCACCTATTCCAGAATGTCATTGCCAACTGTATTTCTGAACTCCAGAAATACCAACACAGACGTTTTAGATGCTGTAGGCTGCTTGAGATGACTGATTGTAGCTCTATAAGTAACAGTGTCTACTTTTCAAACAATATGTAATAGAGTAAAGAAAACTGCACACAAGCAATCCAAGGAAAATATGTTTATTTTATTTATATAGACATGATGCAATATGCATCTTGAAGGGGATAACTTTGAGACAAAAAGAAATGCTTTGGTACATCAGAGTTTCCAAGTAGCAAAAGCAGCAAGGTGATCCAGTGGCTCTTGCACACATTTGAGGAAAACATTTTTTTTTAAGCTTTGTATCCAGTTGCATCAGCCAATCAGTCATAATTATGTAGTTTCAATGGGCAAAGGATGCAATTCATATGTCGTTGCACACTGAAGCGGTGCAGTAAAGATTCTAGATAGTCTATCCTGGAGAAACACAGTTCAGTAGATTCTGTGATGATGTTCAGGTGATGCACAGTGAAAAATTGTCAGAAAAAGGCATATGTGAATTTTTAACAGTTTCAATTCTAAAACACAAACAAAGTTTAGTATTACAGGCTTACAATCCAGATGTCCTTCAGAGCAAACCCGCTATTGAAATCAGCAAAATGGAGATAACTGTCAGGTATTTCAGAATAAAAGTAACATGACAAAACGACATCTTCACAGAGCTCGCTAATGGTTTTAATTTTGATATAGTCCTACTCCGTCCTGTCATTATTTTTAACGGGCAGAAAACTAGATGCTCTGTGTCAAAGTTAATATCAAAAAGTTAAAAGCTAAAAACATTTCCTCTTAAATAAGAGTGAATTCTACATTAAAGGTGATATGACATAAAGTGCAAAGAAAGGTTTCAATAAATGCACTGGGGCTGACTAAGTAGTCACAGAGGCAGGATACACGTACTCTAAAAACGCCTCTTCCCTTTTCTCTTCACTTTTTTTTTTATCAACTCTTTTACTCTTTCTTTTTTTATATAAATGACTGTTTTTTAGGCTGGATCTTTGAATAAGCCTAGGCCTTGTTTATCATGTAACTGAAGGAGTTTATGTGCCATATTGGCTCTATTATGATCTGAACAAATGAAGTCTCAGAGCATTTTGTGTAAGAAATCACAATCCCACGTGAAAAATGTAGATGTTTTCTGTCATTTTCCAGCTAATTGCCCACTTTGTTACTTGAATTCATGAGAAGTGAGTTACAGTATTTCCTGTGCCTTCTTCAAATTCCTCATCTCCTCGGAATCAGCAGAAAAGTAGTAAACATTGAACAGGTTCTATTTAAAAATACTGCTTTAACTGAGATCAGTGCGAACTACAGCAACAACATTTGTAACATCAACAATATCAGTAGAGTAAAAAAAAATTACAAGAGAAAACAATTATAACAATAAAATATATCTCTTTTAATAGAAATCAATCCATGGTATCTCTAATATGAATATATTGGACAATGTAAACCTACCCTTATCAAAGTTAGCAAAATATAATAACACAGTAAGCACATCAATCTTATTCCTCTCACAGAGAGCGCTCACATCATTGTTTCTACAATGGTGTGGGTGGGCTTGATCAAGCCATTGTTCCCGTTCGGGTCCAGAGGCTGTGTCAGCTCGTTGCTCTTCAAATTGTACTCTTTCGGGCGAGAGCTCACGCCTGACTTTGCTGGGGCTGCCACTGCCTTGATCCTCTGGGTGGGGGAAGGAAACGAAACATTAGGCTAATGATCATCAGAAACAAGGGCTCCTTCAAGGCTCAAAGAGACAGACACTGAGTTTGAGACGTCAAACGTTTTTGGAAATTAAAGATTTCTTAGTTCAACACTGATCAAGACATTTTAATTTACCCAGACAACGATGCACATGTCTAAGAAGGTCCGTCTGAGATGAACATCTAACAACAGAATGTGACTTCAGGCCTTTCTTGTCTATTGATATTTGACTGGTTCTCTTCCAAAACCAAAGAGCCAGAGATGCAAAAGATGTTGGTTAAAACACTTTAAAATTATATGCGTAATTATGATTGATTAACTATTGAAGCCAATCAATCAGTCTTGAGCGTAACATTTGAAATTTTGATAAAACATTTATTTAGAAAGTTGGAAAAAAAAAGAAGAAAACACAATCATTTGTTCCCTAAGATGTGACTCAGATTTTATTTTTCCAGTTTGGTCACTTGAAAAAAGGGTGTGAAAATAGGTCTGTTTTTAGCTGGTTAGTGATTCTCAACTCTTTCTTTCAGTCATCACAATATATATAAGAAGCCTTAGTATTTTACTTATTTATTTCATTTGTTTAGTTTTGCTTTTTGAATATTTTGCGGTTTGTGATTACTGTGGGATTCTGCCACTTACAGCCTTCCATGTTTGGCTTTCTCTTTAGC